GTGGGCGGCGACGCATTTTTAGCATAAGCAAAATAATACATTTAAACAAGCTGTTAAAACAATGTTTACAACAAGTTCAACTAACTCTGATATGTTGTATGCTCTCCTTGATTTTTAAGAGCAGAACTGCTTCTGAGGACAGACACAGCAACATCTTTCCTTTGCTGAGGATGAACTCTTTCAGACACTGCATGGAGAACGACATTCATCTTGTCTTTTCAAAACTCCCTAAAAGTGCTCTGTTGGCTTAAGGTCTGGTCTGGGGACATGCGGACACTCAATCACATTTCCCCTGTTCCTCCAGTGACGTCAGGTTTAGGTTTTGGGTCATTATTTTGATGAAAGTGTGTCCGGTGGCCGAGGGCATGAGGTGATGGTTGCAGCTTCTCTATCAGTATTTCACACTACATCTGTGAGCTCACAGTGCTATGTAGGGTTGCCAGGTTTTTGCAACAAACTATGACAATATGCAATCAAAAGTACAGTATCTCAATAAAACCAAAATTCAAAATGACACAACTTCCATGTGCAAAGTTCATATTTTACATCACTGTATTACAACGAACACACGATGGCTGGTGATGCAAACACAAAAAACAAAAAATGTTTTGAGGAATAACGCTAGTAATGTTGTTAATAATGTTCAATTTCTTACACAGAGTTATTGAACTTGAATTATTGCATAAAAAGCTTTACGAAAACACCAACATTTGTAAAATGCACATGATAAACCTATGCAAATGTTTTGGCATTAAGAATAAATGTGCATTAACTACATTAGAAACTCATTTACTGAATGAACAGCAGCATGTGCTTCAGAAAACTCATGTCACTTTGTTTTACCAGATCAAGTGATGACAAAAAATGGGTGTGATGGGATTATATTTGTCGGCAGTTTATCAGGTAGTGATGATGTTGTTCTCTTTGACTCATTGGATGGAAACGCTGCTTTATTCACAAACGTTTCATATGATATTACAGTTTGCACATGTGTCATACCAAACACCAGCCTGATCTCACGAGGAAACATTAGTATTTAACGTTTTGTCAGTTTAGTGGCTAATTCGTACGAATTCGTTTGAGTTCAGTCGTACGAAAATGTAAGATTTTAAAAAGAAGCCGTGGCACCTAACCTCAACCGTCATTGGGTGATGAGCAAATCTTACTAAATTGTACGAATGAGATCGTACGAATTCATACGAATTAGCCACTAAATCAAAAAGTTACGAATTGCTGTGAGATTGTGTTGCAAAAACCATACCTTGCAGGCCCTCGACCCAAACATTAGCAATAAAGCACTTAGTTTTAAGCAAGTGCATGTGCAGACGTCTTTCCATATAACAGTAGATTTGGAAATATTTCAACCCATGTGTCAAAAAATATGCATTTTTTTTAATGGCAAAAGTAAATCCCATATACAGTCGAAGTCGAGAGGGGTCTGGATGCAGACCTGGTGCAGTGCAATCTGACCTGCATCCAATGCTTTTTAATGGGCTCACCTAACCCCACCCCTAACCCCTCAAAGTGACGTCACCCACTCCATTGAGTGCATTGTGTCTGACATTGCATCGGTGAGTGATGCACTCTCAGCTTGCATCATGAAGGCTGCATCCAGATTCTACTGTTGAAGTGAGAATTATTTGCCCCTGTTTTTTCTTCTGTTTTAAATATTTCCCAGATGATGTTGAGCAGATTGAGGAAATGTTAACAGTATGTCTGATAATATTTTTTCTTCTGGAGAAAGTCTTATTTGTTTTTTTTTCGGCTAGAATAAAAGCAGTTATTAATTTTTTAAACACCATTTTAAGGTCAAAATTATTCTTTAAGCTGTATTTTTTTTTCGATAGTCTACAGAACAAACCATCATTATACAATATCTTGCCTAATTACCCTAACCTGCCTAGTTACCCTAATTACCCTAGTGAAGCCTTTAAATGTCACTTTAAGCTGTATAGAAGTGTCTTGAAGAATATCTAGTCTAATATTATTTACTATCATCATGACAAAGAGAAAATAAATCAGTTATTAGAGATGAGTTATTAACACTATATTATGATTAGAAATGTGTTGGAGAAATCTGCTCTGTTAAACAGAAATTGGGGGAAAGCAATTCTGACTATAACTATACATTTAAGGTCAAAATTAAGCATGCAACTGGCAAATTCTGACTTAAAGGTACTTTTATTCAATGAGCAAGTTTTGTTTTGTTTTTTACTGGAAATTTTATTTACATTTGAACAAAAACTTTACATCTGAATTTTCCAAGGGTATGAATAATTTTGGGCTTGACTATGCTGTGCCTGTGTTGTTCTATGAAATATATTTTTAAAAATTGAAAATACCATTCACATTTTTAACCCAGAAATATTTCTAAATATAATTTAGGGTGAAGAAAATACATTTTAATTACAATTATTTTAAATTACATGATTGTAAAATGTATTTTTAAATTAAGTTTTATATATATATATATATATATATATATATATATATATATATATATAATATTCTTGTCATTTTTTTTGTATATTTTGAAAATATTTCAATAAATATGGCCACACTTTACAAAACGTTTTCATTAGTTAATGTTACTTAACAGTGTGAGCAGTACTTGAACAGGATTTATTAATATAGTTCAGCATTTACTGATGCATTATTGGCATCCAAATTCATGCTTGTCCACATCAATTAATGCACTGAGTGAACATAAACTAACATAACTATCATGAACATATGCTGTAATAAATGTACTGTTTGTTGTTTGCTCATGTTAGTAAACCCATAAACTAATATCATCTTATTGAGAGTTATTGTAAGGTGTTAGCAAATATATATTTGACCATATGGGAATGTGTGTTTATTCTGATTATCCAGCCATTCTCCTGAGCAATTGTGTGAGCGAATGACCTTCAGCAGCTAGAACAGATGATGACAGGGCAGGAAGGTTAACGTCTGTGATGAGTAAAGGTGTTTTTAGTGTGTGATTCAGTGCATTGGCTGCGTCCCCTGATGCTAATGACTGATCTGTGTGAAACCCCACGGTGAGAGTTTTCTCCAGGGCCAAAGCTTTACTCATTCAGCCGAAGTGACTCACCTAAACAGATCACACACTGGTGTGAAGCGTGCGTGCGTGCGTGTGTGTGTCGCTGCGTGCTTTCTCCAGGTGCCTCCGTGGGTGAAAAGGTGAAAGTCCTGAGGCTGTGAGATGCAGCATGATTCACTGTTGATGGAGGACACAGGGACTGAGGGCTGTTTGGTGGATATTAAATGCACCTGGATGCACATGTGGGCACAAACAAGAAATAAAAATACATTAAGATTGTCTGAGTGTGCTTGAGTGAGAACACTGCAAAAAAATGTGTCTGTCTCAGAGTTTTGTCTTGTTTTTAGTCCAAACAAAAATGAAGGAGCATATCTAGACGGGTAAAAAAACAATATAGTCTTGTTTTCAGAAATAATGAGTCAAATGAAGTGTGGGTTGTTCCTTAAAACAAGCAAAATAGTCTGCAAATTGTGTAAGCAATATAATCTTATTTCAAATCAAAAACAATATTATTCTGCATAACCCACTGAGCTTTAATAAAATGTAAATGACCACGATTATTAGTTCAATTATTAGTTCAACGCCATATAAACTGTTTTAATGAATCAGTTAATGATTAGCAAATCTCATCATGCTCTGGACTTTCCTATCGAGGAAACAGTGTTTAACTCATTAGGTGGTTATTAATGAAGATCTCGGTTCCTAATGAGGCATACATTAATTAATGCATTTAATTCATTAGTGTGCCCGTATTTTACAATACCCTTTCTGTCAAAGCTCTGTAATTCAGGGCTGGAATAACTGATCGACTGTAGTAATTAGTAACAGTAATGCTAAAACCTGTCTAAGAGCTCCATGCACTGTTGATATCGAAAGCGTCTTGTCTTGTCTGGTATTAATCTAGTGGGAATGCCAATGTGTATTGTCATGTACATGCATGCAGGTGAATGTCTGAATATTACTGAGGTTCGTCCTAACTCATACAAACACACACTCTAATGCAGAGCTGTTGTAACCCAGTGTTTGGTTTCATACAGACAAAGACAACCATTTGGATAAATTAAAAAAGTGTATTTAAATTTAATTGAAAAAAAAAAAATTACCCAATGATGTGTTTGACCATATTTGGATTTTGACAGTCGAAAAAAAAAAAAGGAGTTATAAAAAACTTTATGTTATATGCCCAATTCATGACTAGATTTGTAAGACAAAAGGTTCTACAATAGCTGAACATCCTCTTCCTCCTGTAAACATGATTACATCTCATTGAATTTCAGCATCAGTGTTGTTTAGATTATACAGTTGAAATCAGAATTATTAACCCCTCTTATTTCTTTATTAAATATTTCCCAAATGATGTTGGACAGATTCAGGAAATGTTCACGGTGTGTCTGATAATATTTTTTCTCCTGGAGAAAGTCTTATTTGTTTTATTTCGGCTAGAATTAAAGCAGTTTTTAATTTTTTAAACACCATTTTAGGATCAAAGTTATTAGTCACTTTAAGCTTTATATTTTTAATAGTCTACAGAACAAACCATCATTATACAATAACTTGCCTAATTACTGCCTACCCTAATTAACCTAGTGAAGCCTTTAAATATCACTTTAGGCTGTATAGAAGTGTCTTGAAGAATATCTAGTCTAATATTATTTACTATCAGGGGGCTAATAATTCTGACTACAACTGTAAAAGTGTAGAAGTGTTTATGCAAATTTAAAACAATTGTTTGGCCTCAAAATGCTTGAATTATTCACAGTTGTCAGGATGAAATATTGTAACTAAACTTTTTTCTGTAACAGAACAATGACATGCCTACAGCATATATACAGTCATGTAAAATAAGACAATCTACTGTATTTCATGATTGTCTATATCAAAACATTAAAATAATAATAAAAACAGCATCGATGTCAGGTAAAATGTAAAAACAAATAAATAAATACAAAAACACAAGTTAAGTGTGAGATAAAACATTAGATGTACATCATTACATGACCTCTCACACTGTGTCATTATTTATTGAACAGAAATAAAGCAAGATAGAAAAGCCATGAGTGATAAACGAATGATTCAGATCCTGCAGATGCACTTTTAGCAGGAGCGATTAAAGTCCTGAGTTTCTCTCAGATCATTCTGGAGGAGTTTTGGACTTTCTGCATTTCAGTCAGGATGAGCTCTGCACTTGAACAGCTCGATGTTTGGTGTCTTCTTCTTCTTCTGTTGTGTTGTAGATTTGCTGCGGTGTTTGGGATCATCGTCTTGTTCAGGACTCAGCTTTGGCTCAGCTTTAGCTGTGGGACACACTGAGCTTACTAACTTATTTCTGTTAAAGCTACAGTTGAAGTCAATATAATAATAATAATAAGTTTAATTCTTTTACAAATATTTCACAAAAAGAATTTTTGTCAACACATTTTTAAACATAATAGATTTAATAACTAATTTATTTTGTTTAAAAAAATTAACTAAAAGACTAGGTTCATTAGGCAAGTCAGGGGTTAGACAACCAGATTATTTTTTCTTGTAATATTAATAATATTGACTTAAATAACATATTTTACTCCTGCCAAACTAAAATAGATAATACTTCAATAATACAGTTGAAGACAGAATTATTCGCCCCCTTCAAATGTTTTTCTTCTTTTTAAAATATTTTCTAAATGATGTTTAACAGAGCAAGGAAATGTTCACAGTGTGTCTGATAATATTTTTTCTTCTGGAGAAAGTCTTATTTGTTTTATTTCAGCTAGAATAAAAGCAGTTTTAAATTTTTTAAACACCATTTTAGGGACAAAATTATTAGCCCTTATTTATTTTAGCCCTTAGGCTATATTTATTTCTCAATAGTCTACAGAACAAACTATTATATTTAGAAATCTGTTGAAAAAAATCTGCTCTCTGTTAAACAGAAATTAAGGAAAAAATAAATAAGTAGTCTAATAATTCAGAGGGGCTAATAATTCTGACTTCAACTGTATAAGACAAAAAATACGAAGTAACAGTAAATAATAAGACAACAATATGATCAGATATACCAACGCAATAATTTTTGATTTAGTGGTTAATTCGTATGAATACGAACAATCTAATTAGTACAATTTTGGTACCCCCAATGACGGTCGGGTTTAGAGGTGGGGTTAGGTGCCACGCCTCCTTTTTTAAATCATACAATTTCATACGACCAAACTTATTTGCCATATTATATTATTATATTTTATTATATTATATTATTAGCCAACTTATTAGCCAACTTATTAGCTTATTAGCCAACTTGTTAGGAATTAGCCACTAAACTGGCAAAACGTAAAATGCTTACATTTTCTCGTGAGATCAGGCTGGATATACTGTGAAAATGTCTTTGGTCTGTTTGCATCACTTGAGAAATATTTGGAAATATTTATACAGGATTTTACCTTGACTTCAACTGTACACAGTATAATGCTGTTGGTCTCAGGTTTTATTTCCCAAATTTTAAGACCTGCCAAAAATCTGATCATTTTTATGTCCTGATATGGAAAATCAGACATGGGTTGTTGGGTGTGCTAACTTTTTCACATGACTGTAGTTTTGTGCTGTTCTCATTCTCCATCAGTACAGAGATGAATGCAGCTCTGGAACAGCACTCACAGTATTGGAGTGTGTTATTTCAGCAGGTCAGCCTGTTCTCTCTCACCTTACTCAAGCTCAATGACGAGTTTCTGCTCATCATCGCTGCTGCTGTTACCGTCCTCCAGTTCCAGATAACTGCTGCTGCTGCCCAAATAAAGCTGCTTCGACTCTGTTGAGCTGCTGTGTGTGACTGGAGCACACATTTGATGCGTCTGTGCTTCTTGAACTGTCATTTGAGACCTGGATCCATCACTGGATGGTGGAGTAACGCTCGCATTGTCCGTCTCAGTGTTTGAAACAGCGCAGTTGTTTTGGAGAACTGATGCAGATGTGCTGCTGGTTTTGTGAACTTGAGTGCGCTTTGAGTAAATCCAGTAGCTCATGGCTCCTCTTGCCTGCGTCTCCTTTTGAAATTCACTCTGCGTGGTGTTCGCTAATGCTGAACGTCTGCATGTTTGATTGGAACGTTTTGCCGTGTTTAATGAGGACATGTCCCGTTGGTCAGTCTCTGGGGAAGGGCTGTTCCCCAAATATTCACCCATGTCGTCTGTCCTGCTGCTGTTTTCACATTTACTTCGACAGTTTGGTGGAGTTATGTCTGTGCAGAAAGATGTTTCTGGATTGAGTTTTTCATGATGAAGTGATTGTGAAAAGTTAAAGGACACTTCCTGGGAGAACTGAGGATTCGCTCGAGTAGATGTCTGATGTTTCCCACGGGATATCGCCTGATCCTGTTGTCATAAGATACAATAATTAGTGCATGCTTGTACAATACATTATTCTCTCCAGAGGTGCCTGGGTTCAGTTTTGCAGTAATTTATTAACTAAAAATATCAACCAATTAAATATTAGGTGCTCTACACTGCAAAATGATTCTCTTACTTTGAGTTTTTGTCTTATTTGTAGTCCAAATGTTTTTTAAAAATCTTAAATCAAGAAACATTTTCTAGACAAGCAAAAATATTGACGAGTTTTAAAGAAATGATATGCAAAAATTAAGTGAATTTTTCATTAAAAAGGAAAATAATCTGCCAACGAGGAAGTGAAATCATGTTGTTTTTCCTTATTTTGCTTCCCCTTTGGCATTTCCCAAAATAATGAACTCCATATCTAATACTTTCTACATCATCATCATCATCATCATCATCATCACTGATGTTTCTCCAGAAAGTGAACAAACTGATTGGTTTTGAACTCCAGATGTTGCCGCTTTCAAGAGTTCACACTTATCTGATGATTGATTATAAAGCGTGTTCATCATGCTGTCCCGGGAGAGAGCCCTGAGCTCATAAGATCCTCAAGCCTGAGGTTCCCTCCCATTTGCAGGGCGAGAGGGGAGTTTGAGCTCAGGTAGATGTGGAGAACTCCGCTGCTGTAGTAGCTAATGAACAGATAGTGATCGCTCTTAAGAGATAACTACTGACTAGCAGCATGTCTATGGTGCTGGATTAGTCAGTTACTTAAGCTGCATGTTTTTGGATGGTGGGAGGAAACCGGGGAACCCGGGAAAACCCACGTGAGCACGGGGAGAACGTCTAAACTCCACACAGAAATGTCGGCTGGGTTGGTAAGGACTAGAACCAGAGACATTCTTGCTGTGAGGCAACAGTGCTAACCATTGGCCCACCGTGCCACCCATCTAGGAAAGGAGGAGAAGTAGGGGTGGAGGGGGATTCTTCAAAATGAAGATGGCTGTGATATGGAGCTCAGGGTATTTATAGTGGCTTAGGAATCGTCTGATTGGTGAATTATAAATTGGATGATGCAGGACCGGCCGCAAGCAATGGTGATCCTCTCGACATTAGTTTATAAATAAACGTCCTGTATGATGTGTGTTCTCAGTGAGTGCTTTGTTTCTTTTCTCTCACCTTTCTTTTGTCTTGTTTGTAAGTGTCTCCAGAGCTTCGGCATGTGTTGTTTCCATCAGTCATCTCCATGGTTGATCTTTTCCCCTCTTCATCTCCATCTTCCCGTATTTTGGCTCCTGATTCCCTTCTATCTGTCCTTGAGTCCCTCTGAAACCTCAGGTTTTTCCTAACACCATCTTCCCCAGATTCTGAAGCAAAACATGAGCTGAATTAATAAATGCTCTATTATTTTTGAGTCTGAGTATAAAAAATATACCCCTAACCCTATATATATATATATATATATAAATTTTTAAATACTATAATATATATAGTATATTATACTATATTATATTATACTATATATATTACTATTACTATATACTATAATATATATTTTTTAAATACTATAATATATATAGTAAATATATATATATATATATATATATAAATAAGAATATATAATATATAATAATATATAATAATGTACATATTCAGGAAATGTTCATAGAATGTCTGATAATATTTTTCTTCTAAAGAAATTCTTATTTGTTTTATTTCAGCTAGAATAAAAGCAGTTATAAATTTTTTAAACACCATTTTAAGGTCAATATTATTAGCCCCTTTAAGCTAAAATTTTTTCTTATAGTCTACAGAACAAACCATCATTATACAATAACTTGCCTAATTACCCTAACCTGCCTAGTAACCAAAATTACCCTAGTGAAGCCTTTAAATGTCACTTTAGGCTGTATAGAAGTGTCTTGAAGAATATCTTGTCTAATATTATTTACTGTCATCATGACAAAGAGAAAATAAATCAGTTATTAGAGATGAGTTATTAACACTGTTATGATTAGAAATGTGTTGAAGAATCTGCTCTCCGTTAAACAGAAATTAGGGAAAAAATAAACGGGGAAAATAATTCAGGTGAGCTAATTATTCTGACTTCAACTGTATATAGTAATAATATATATATTTCAGTCTGAGATGTCTCATTTACAGGCATTTCTTGATTGAATCCAGGAAACATCACTGTTAATACAACAGCGCAGGGTGGAGTTTATGTAATTTCTTTGCTCAATAATACAACAATGTTGACCTTCAGACCACAGAATGATCTGTTAATATAATATTAATATTAATATGATAGTAAGTCAGTTTTATACGCTCATGAAATAAGTAAACACAAAACCAGCTGTTTTTATCAGCATTTCTTTATAAGCTTCAGGTTTATGCCAACTAAAAACGTCCTTATCCCCGTTTAAACTGGCAACAGGATTCTCTTTCAAACAAAACATTAAACTGATTTTCTACAGCCAGAAATCTTATGTAATTGATGTGCATTTTCTTGCCGTTCAGCCTCCTGGACCGTATGCCTCATTGCAAAGTGAATATCAGCCAAATGATAAAAAAAAAAACATGACAGTTTCACATTGCATATCAAGACACACCGATCAGCATATGCTACTAAATATCATGATGGTGGAGATATACAAATGATTGTCTTGATGAGAAAAAAAGGGGTGCGATTCTCTGGGGTGGATCTGGTTTGGCTGAACTCTTGCGCACGCCTCTGCGCAGCATTGCTCAGAAAAGGAGCTGCGTTTGGCTCTCAGATTGCTTGTCATCTGTCTGGAACGAAGACAAGCGCAAAATCTCCATTCACTCTTTGCGTCTTAGTTCTGTGGGTCTCTAAAGGGACCATCTACCAGCTTCAGCGCCCGTCTACACACCTCAACATGTCTTAACCCATGTGTGGTCTTTGATTTCTGCATATTCCGATTATCCTACAGGTCTAACATGAAACTAAACCTCTGAAATAAAGCAGTTGCAAAACTGAAACAACCTCATCTTCATCACAAACCCTGTGAATTTTCCCTGATCAGTGTGGAGCATTTCATCAATGTTGAATCAGTGGGTAACACTCATTTCTGACTAAAGGAAGGAGTATATTGTCCAGTTCTTAAAGTAACTGCATTGGTGTAAATGTTTTAACTATTACTACATTTCAGAAAAAGCTTTCCTTGCATGTTTGGTTTTGTCTCTTGTCCAAATATCCTGCAATTCTTGAAATTTAGCCTGTTTTAGGGAAAAACGCGCTTAATTTTGACATTATTTCTGAAAATGTTTCTTGAATTGAGAATTTTGAGATATTTGCACTAGAAACAAGACAAAAAAAATCCAAGTAAGAAAAGCATTTTGAAGAGTTCACCCTCAGCTGATGATTGATTATAAAGCGCGTTTGGCATGCTGTGCTGGAAAAGAGCTCAGAGCTTATAAGATCCTCGAGTCCGGGGCTCCCTCCCATTTGCAAGGCCAGAGGGGAGTTTGAGCTCAGGTAGATCTCGAGAACTCTCCTGCTGTTTGGAGCTAGTGTGCAATTAGGGATTGCTTTGAAGAGATAAATACTTACAAGGAGCATGTCTATGGTGCCCATTTGGATTAATTAATTAACTTAAGCTGCATGTCTTTGGATGGTGGCAGGATACTAGGGAACCCGGGGGAAACCCACGTGAGGACGGGGAGAACGTGTCCTTACACAGAAACGACTGGCTTGGTAAGGACTAGAACCAGTGACGTTCTTGCTGTAACAGTGCTACAGTGCTAACCACTGGGCCACCGTGCCACCCATCTAGGAAAGGAGGAGGAGTAGGGGTGGAGGGGGGATTCTTCAAAATGAACTGAGAACTGAGGGTATTTATGGAGACTTAGAAATCGTCTGATTGGTGAATTATAAATTGAATAATGCAGGCTGGCCCTGACCAATCATGAGCAAGTGATCCTCTCGAAATTAGTTTATAAATAAACTTAAAACTATTTGTGTGTGTGTGTGTGTGTGTGTGTGTGTGTGTGTGTGTGTGTGTGTTTTGCAGTGTAAAAATGGTTTTATGGATGACCATTTAAAAAAAAGGTTGGCCCATAATCCAGCAGGCACAGGATGTCAACATGATGTCAGATTGATATCATACTCCAACATCACATTGTTTGCAAAATCGTGTTGACTTCAGAACCCAACATCAGGCCGAACTCAGTGTCCAACATCCAACCTGAAATCAACCAAATATCAACGTCTAATGATGTTACAGCTTGACGTTGTGTTGACGTTACCACTATGACGTCTATCAGATGTTGGATTTCAGTTGCCAAACCTGACGAATAAATGTCGGTATTTGACGTCAATATGACGTTTAAGGTTTTGGCTGGATGTTGGATTTTGGTAACTTTCCAACACAACCTAAAATCCACCAAATGTCATTTGACATCGTTATTGGATGTCAAAGTAATGTTGTCCTTAGACGCTGGCTAGACATTGAATTTTGTTCACCTGACATCACAATCTAAATCTAACCTGATAATATGTCATGGTGTTGTGTGCCAGCTGGGAAGACAACCCTAAATGTGTTCAGCTTTCATGAAAATATAGTTATTTTTTTAAATATTGGTCTTTTTTTAAGTCATCAAACTTCAAAAAGTCCTCAATTCATCAATCACTACATGGTTTTTTTCTGTTGTTAAAATGATCTCGGGTCATTTCCAGCCTGTATAAGTCAACAGAAGAGTTAACACATACAGTAGTGGCACCAACGTTCACTTCAGCTCAAAGCGTTTGCAGGTGCATTTTCCAGATTTTTTTCAGACACATGTTTGTTTTTGTGATTTATAAGGACTCTACATAGGTGTATTGTATTTTATTCTGTAAAGATTGCTAATTATGTGGTCCTAGCCCTCAATCCGACACTCAAGGGGAACCTATGGAGAACTCTGAATGTGAAAAGACCTCTAAGCAGGATCTTAAACAGTTTTAAATGACCAAGACACAAGGCATATCCCCATAAACTGCCTCAGTGCTTTAATACCTACAGTCTCAGATATAAAGGTACAGCTGAAGTCAGAATTATTAGCCCCCCTTTGATTTTTAATTTCTTTTAAAAATATTTCCCAAATGATGTTTAACAGAGCAAGGAAATGTTCACAGTATGTCTGATAATATTTTTTCTTCTGGAAAAAAATCATACTTGTTTTATTTCGGCAACAATAAAAGCAGTTTTTAATTTTTTAAAAGCCATTTTAAGGACAAAATTATTAGCCCCTTTAAGCTGTATTTTTTCCTGATTGTCTACAGAACAAACCATCGTTATACAATAACTTGCCTAATTACCCTAACCTGCCTAGTAACCAAAATTAGCCTAGTGAAGCCTTTAAATGTCACTTTAAGCTGAATAGAAGTGTCTTGAAGAATATCTAGTCTAAAATTATTTACTGTCATCAAGGAAAAGATAAAATAAATCAGTTATTAGAGATGAGTTATTAAAACTATTATTTTTAGAAATGTGTTGAAGAAATCTGCTCTCTGTTAAACAGAAATTGGGGAAAAAAATAAACAGGGGTGCTAATAATTTAGGGGGGCTAATAATTCTGACCTTGTTAGAAGGTACACATTTTTACTTGAAGGGTTCATATTGGTACCTCAAAAAGTATCTACAAATTTTAAGAGGAACACTTTTGTACTTTTTAGCTCCTAATATGTACTCTTGAGGTATTAATATGGATCTTTAGGTACACATTTTTTACTCTTGAATAGGTACCACCCCAGTGACAGCTTGCATACCTTTATTTCTGAGAGTGTACACTGTCACTGGGCGATACCTTTTAAAAATGTGCATTTTTGTTCCAAACAGGTGTTTAAATGTATATATTAAAACCAAAGGGGCGAGGCAGTGGCGCAGTAGGTAGTGCTGTCGCCTCACAGCAAGAAGGTCGCTGGGTTGAGCCTCGGCTCAGTTGGGGTTTCTTTGTGGAGTTTGCATGTTCTCCCAGCGTTCGCATGGGTTTCCTCCTGGTGCTCCGGTTTCCCCCACAGTCCAAACACATGCGCTACAGGTGAATTGGGTAGGCTAAATTGTCCGTAGTGTATGAGTGTGTGTGTGTGGATGTTTCCCAGAGATGGGTTGCGGCTGGAGGGGCATCCTCTGCGTAAAAACTTGCTGGATAAGTTGGCGGTTCATTCCGCTGTGGCGACCCTGGATTAATAAAGGGACTAAGCTGACAAGAAAATGAATGAATGAATTAATACCTAATAAAAAGTAAAAATGTGTACATCACTGTACCTTAAAAGTATACCCTAAATATATTACTGTCCACTTGTATGGTACAAAAGTGTATCTCCTGAAAAGTGACCGATATTGTTCCTTTATTTCTGATTGTGTAGGTCATACCCAGGTCATACAAATTTGTCCTCATAAATCACATAAACAAGCACACACACACACACACACACACACACATATATATGAAGCTGTCATAAAGAGATGCAAGCTTTGTTTAATCTACACCCTCTGATCAACCCTTGACCTGCTTCATCTTTATTATTCCGGCTCATTTGGATGGGCTGTAAGCTAATGATCTTCTGAGAGCAGCATTTCCATCGTCAAACCTGCGCGAATCAATGTTTCCCTCTAACAAGTGACCCTGATAAGAGAAACATCAGGTCGGTGCAGGATTATGGGGGAATCACAAAGGTTTGGACAGGAAGACGCCGCAGAGAATGTGATGACAACTTAATGAGATTCACCTTAGATTCACCCTCTCATGCTCCAATCTCGCTGATCCTCCTGAATGCAAAACAGATTCTGCTCATGGAGCGGTTCTGCTGCAAATCTTCAGCCAGCGAGACGGAGCAGTTCTACACTTTATTCACACAATAATGCTGTTTAATAGTGTAGCATCCCAATCAGAGATGTCTGATTTACAAGCATGTCTTGATTTCGTCCAGGAAAAGTCACTGTTAATGTGACAGCGCTGGGTGGGGTTGATGGGATTTCTTTGCTCATTAGTACAGAAATCTTTGACCTTGGCATGTTCTTTCATGGAAGCATAGCCCTTATTTAAAGCAGGGGTGTCAAATTCAAATCCTGGAGGGCCGCAGTCTGCTTCAACATACCGATCTGTATGAGAGCCGAAAGCACTCAGTTAGTTTGATCAGGTGTGTTTAATTAGAGTTGGAACTATGTGCAGAGCTGCAGCCCTCCACAAACTGACTTTGAGGCCTGTGATTTAAAGGGATAGTTCACCAAAAAAAAATAACATGTATTTTTTATTACTATTTTTTTATAGACTATTTAATCTCCCTCATGTGTTTACAAAACTTTATGAGTTTCATTCTACTGATAAACAAAAAAGAAGATAGTTTGAGGAAAGCTGAAAACCTGTCACCATCGACTTATATAGTAGGAAAAACAGTATGGAAGTCAATGGTTACAGGTTTACAACATTTTTCAAAATATCTTCTATTGTGTTCAAAAGAAGAAAGAGACTCATGAAGGTTTGAAACAAGTAAAGAGAGTAAATGATGCTGGAGTTTTAATTTTTGTGTGAACTTTAACTTTAATATTTACACTACAGTTTATGACTGTGCCTGGATGTTTTCTATATGCACTTATGAATTATTAATGTTTATTTTTGCAAGTGACTAAATGTGGCAAAATCTAAAAAAGAATTATGGCGCAGTAGGTAGTGCTGTCGCCGGGTTTGTTGGCGTTTCTGTGTGGAGTTTGCATGTTCTCCCTGTGTTTGCATGGGTTTCCTCCGGGTGCTCCGGTTTCCCCCACAGTCCAAACACATGCGGTACAGGTAAATTATGGGCTAAATTGTTGGTAGTGTATGAGTGTGTATCCCAGAAATGGGTTGCAGCTGGAAGGGCATTCGCTGCGTAAAAACATGTGCTGGATGGGTTGGTGGTTCATTCCGCTGTGGCGACCCCGGATTAATAAAGGGACTAAGCCGACAAAAAAATGAATGAATGAATAAACGTACAGTGCTGTACATTACATTGGACTCCTGTACAAAGGCCAAATAGGAACATTTCAGGAGAATGTTGTTGTTGTTGTTGTATCAGATCATTTATGCAAATCATATATTATTTGCATATGGGTATTTCATTGCTTCCCCTAGCATGGGGTGCATAAAGTCTGCATTGTCATAAAGCCTTGTCTGGTTCGAGAGACTGTAAGTTTTGATCTCCTGTCACCATCTTGTGGAGAGACAGTGTTATGGCACCTTTATGACAACAGGTGCTTTGGCATCTTCCTCAGTACATTGGTCAGTTCTCCAAACGTCTTCTTCACACCTTTTTTCTTGTCAAAGCTTTACATATATACAAACTATTTATTTAGCTTTAACTATACAGCATATCTATAAAACTAACATATTTGAACACATTTTAACACATATGTTTTCTTACATATATACTTTATCAGCCACTGAAATTACAAATATGAACATATTTGTTTAAAATATTTAGCTATGAGTGTATATATACATACATACATACATAACCCTGCTGATCCTACACCACCCATCCCGCTCTGAGCTAGTATCGAACTTATGACTTTCTGCATGGGAGTCGGTTGCTCTACCAAGGAGGCTAAAGACCATGGCCTCTGGCAATTGTCACTAGAGCATCTTAAGAGGTAAGAGAAGCAAGGTTTACCTGCACAGCACTTACTAGCTGGCCTCCGTTACACATACATACATGCATAGCTAATGTATTTTAACATATTTATACATATTTGTAATTCCAGTGGCTGAAAAAACATGCACACAATGAAGTATCCATGTTTGCAATATTCATTTTTCTTCAGCTTAGTCCCTTTATTAATCTGGGATCGCCACAGCAGAATGAACCACCAACTATTCCAGCATATGTTTTACACAGCGGATGCCCTTCCAGCTGCAACTCATCACTGGGAAACTTCCACTCATACACTACAGCCAGTTTATTTCATCAGTTCCCCTATAGCGCATGTGTTTGGACTGTGGGGGAAACCGGAGCACCCGGATGAAACCTACATAAACATGGGGAGAACATGCAAACTCCGCACGGAAACGCCAGCTGACGCAGCCGAGACTCAAACCAGCAATCTTCTTGCTGTGAGGCGATCGTGCTACCCACTGCGCCACCCATGTTTGCAATATTTTTAAAAAATGTATGTTGCATTGATGACAATTTCTATATATGCGGAATCCAAATATAAACGTACATGTTATCTGAATATATTAGCACATATTTGATTTGTATGTGGGAACATTAAAGAGCTACATAAAAAGACTGAAGTGTGACCCACCTGTAGACACCTCCAGATGGGCGTGCTGTGTGTGGACATCTCGCTTACTTCTGTCTCCATTAACAGTGTTACGGCTAGATGTCCTGTCTGGCGTCGGGCAGGATGATTTCACATCACTATAAGTGTGATTTCCAAAATCACCGGGAGCAAAGTCGTGCTGGGAATCCTGCTGAGCAGCTGTTTGTTCAGGACACAACGTTTCAGTCACCTTATCTGTGTCACAAGCCTTTATTTCTCTCGTGTCTAAGCTAGTCTTGCTGTCTCTGGGCTGTTCTGGCATCTCTTTTGTCGTCTTTTTCTCACAAACACAAGTTGCGAGGTGTGTAGTTGTGTTTGTGTGAACGCTCTCTGACATGAAGTGACCTGTTTCCTTTAGCTCACTCGTGTTTATAGTTGGAATGTGATTTGATTCCACTTGTTGATCTCTGGTTGCCTCTGTGAATGTTTGATCCTCAGTAGTGCTTACTGTGTTTTTGTTGTGAACACAGTTTTGTGGTTCCTTGTCGTATTTTCTTATAGAACAACTGCTCTCCACTGATTTAGGCTCAGTCAGAGTGTCTCCATCCACTAGTTTGTGACTTGACTCAACCTCAAGACTTCCAGAGTTCATCAGCTCTGGTAACTCCAGCGGTTGTGTTGTGTTTTTACGATAGTCCGCTGAGGCCGAGATGTGAAACTTTGTCTGTGGATGCGACCAAGATGAGACACACTGAGGCATGGTGGTAACATCATTTTGAGAGGTGTCTGCTTTGTTTGCTGAACACCTGAAAGTGCTATTTATTTGCGTCTCACCAATATTGATGAGTTCCTGCGGCACATCTTTGCTGTACGCCTCCTGCAACAGTGTCGTCTGCGCTGAAGACATGGCTTCAATATGAGGCTCGATCAGTGCTAACTGTTCATCAGAAATGAGCTGCATGACAATCTGGAGGTCAGCCGTGCGCACATAGAACGTGTTCTGAGCCTGAGCCGAGCCATTCAGCAGCATCACTTTTCCTTCAGACTGAAGCTCTTCTGAGTCACTCGTGGGGATATTAGATGCCATGCTGTTCTGAGGACTCTCACACACTGTGGATGCGATGTTGTCTGTACAAGCATTGGGTTCTCCTGATTCAATAACAGAGAATGAAGGATGATTCTGTACTGTAGTTACCGGAGAATATACTGTTGGTCCAGAGCAGTAACTCATTGTTGACATGGTTGGTGTGGTGAAGCGAGAGCTCTCCAATGTTTTAGCAGGCTGATATACTGCAGCAGTTGACTGATTCTCCTCCTCACCTCGGTTATTCTGCAACAAAGACACTTGATGCTGCACCAATGGAGGCGGCATAGCGGAAACAAGTGAAGCTGATGTGTTCGTGGTGGACTGAATCTCTGACATGACTTTGGATAGAGTGTCTGTTTGATTCAGCCCCTTGGAGGCTGCCACGCACATTGCCTCCTGTTGACTCTGGTGAAATCCTGCGTGCTGTTTTGAGGATAGTTCAGGCTGCTCTGTAGTTTGGTGACTTTCTGCGGTTGAGCAATGTGCTGAAGTGGAGCCAGAACACGACGCTGACACTCCATCTGCGGGACAAGGAATCTTCAGCTGGTACATGGGAGGAAAGCTGGTCTTGGCTTCAGGCACAGTAGGGCTGCTGAGTGAACCAGACGGGGTGCCAGATGCCCCGCTCATACTCACCAAACAAGAAGCACCACCACTAAGGGAATTATTCTCCAGGAACTGACTTGTCTGTATGAAGTTGCTCTGAGAGTGGACATTCTGCATGTTGACACTGTGTACAGTGATGGAGCCGCTCTCTGCACAACTTGACAAGAATGACTGGCTCATTAACGTACACAGATTTCCAGTATCTTTAGGATCTGAAACACTGAGCGTTTGAACATCATTCCCAGTGCGCTGTTTCTTCCGCTCTGATGGGACATGGCAGACGGTGTGTTGTGTTAATTGTATATCTTCCACGCTTGATCCCTTCACGTTATCATGTTCAAAGCCAGTATGTGAGACTTTAAGCTCATTTGGCAAGGTCAACATTGATCCATTATGTCTCTGGATGTCCAGACTCTCTGTCGGTTCAGTGCTTGACGCAGTCTTCCTCGCCTTTAGTGCACAGTCTTTCGGAGTATTGTAGAGTTTCCTAAATGTGCCTCCTTTGTAGGTGTGCCACTTTGTGTAGTCGAACTTCTGTGCTTTCTTCCTGTAGGTTGCTTTCACACATGACTCCGTTGCGACATCGGTGCTGTCTCCGTCTGAGCTCAGGCTGCTCATGCTGCCTCTTTCTGCCTCGGCACTATACAGGCAATCCACTGCCACCTGTCTGACTAGTGAGCGGTGTGTTGCTGCCCTCTGATTTGATGGCCGTATTGGGTAAACATGGCCTGCACTGCATCGTCTGCTGAGATTTAGACTCACTGCTCCATCGGCAGCTGGTTTGCTTCCCATAGAGAAGGGTAGAGAGCTGCTGCGTGTTAATGGTGCGTGCTCCAGACTGGCGGACAGTTGTGTGGGCAAAGACCTGTGAACGGCTTGACCTCCTCGGTCTGGATTTTGGGAGCTCAAGACGTGCTTGCAGTTCCTTATCTCAAAATGAAAGGAGTCTTTATACGTGTAGGGCACCGGAAGATCAATGCTTCCTTGCTTTGACAATATTGTCTTTCTTGGTCGCACGTTTTCCAGTAGCTTATTGTCCACCAACACACTATTCTCATATATAAGTTTTGAAATGCGCTCCTCCAGCTTCTGCTTCTCCTGAACGGACACCTTGCTTTTTGGGTCTTCGGAGGTCATCTCTGGGGGGATTTGGGAGGCAGCTGGTTCTTGCTGTGCCATTGGGGTTTCTGTCAGCGATTCTGTACTGGGATCGTGCAGGCTTGCTCCAGGACTGCTGGTTGAATGATGCTCGCTGCTGTCGCTGAAACCAGAGTCTGTACTGTCATGGCTTTGTGCTTTGCAATGGCTAGATAGGAATGGAAAGGATGGTTTGGAAAATAAAGCCTCCTGCCTCTGTAGAGGCATGCGGTTTAAAGATAGCGGTGTGCATCCATCCACAGTCAGTGCGCTTGTCTGCTGGATAGCATTTGCATTCGTTAGTTTGATAGCATCAACGGAAAACTCCGCAGTTTTTCTCAATGACTTTACCTTGTCTTGAAGTGCTGGCGTTGTGCTGATTCCGACCATGGCAGCATTCTGTAATGCCCATTCTATGCCAGACATCATCCTAGTCTCTGCAGGGTCTGTCTGACTTGGTGTAGTTATTGAATCTGTAGGAAAAACTTCTTTGGCTTTCCTCGCACCGGCTTGATCCACACAGTTCGTCTCTAAGGATGGACTTAAACAGTTGTCCTTCGAGCTCTCCATGCTCTCCTGACTGCTGAAGGTGCCTTTTTCAGACTCGCTGGAATGACGGGCATGAGCCTGGGTGCGCTTGTGTTTGTAAAGATTGCTCTGTGTCTTGAAAGAAATGCCACAGGTCGTGCAGGGATACGGTCGCTCTCCTGTGTGGCAGCGAAGATGTTTCTCCAGCACGCTGGGCTTCAGGCAGTCCTTCCCGCAATGTGGGCAAACATGCTTCCCAAGAGACTTAGGTCTGCCCGCGGACGCTGGAGCCACTAGTCTTTGTTGCTGCAAAGCAGCCGTGCTGGCAATATGCAATGTCAATGAGGGCAAAGTCGAGTTGCTACACATCCGGGGCAGGAACAGTGGTACAACCGTTGCGTCCTGCAAGGCTCCAGGTTGGGCCTGAGGGTATGGCTGCAGGCCAGAAGCAGGAACGTTCTGGACATACATAGTGGTGAGACGGGCCTGAACATGCGCCTCTTCCTCTCTCTGTGCAGACTCTGAACACTGAGGCTCGGTAGCTCGCACAAAGCTCTGCTTTCTAGTTGCCATGGTAACACAACCCTTGTGATGCTGGGAGACGGAGCTCGCTAATTACCTAAAAAAAGAAACAGTTTTATTATTTTTCTTCATTCGACCTGAACTCCCCTGGATCAGAGCATTCAAACCCTTATTTGATTTAAAATGCAGGAAGCTAAAGAAGACAAGCTTTTTTCCATAATATAGCAAATCACCATCTTTTTAGAGGTTAGAGTGACTGCAATCGTGTCAGTACATCTGATGAAAATGCCATATCAAGAGAAAGAAATGTTGGTCAACATGCAGATGATTTATTTTTAAAATGTGTAGTCGTGTGTCAAAATGTGTAAACTCTTGCGCAAACATTTGTTTAATTGACTCTGGAAATGTAAACAAAGTGCTGAGGATTCATCAATAGGAATATTTAACCAAATAGAAATCTCTTTTTAATTCAAGCACATTGTCAGTATTTGCATATTGCAAAAGCACCAGAGGAGTTTGAGCAGAAAACAGTGGCGGCGATGACTCACTTCTAGAAAAATGATACCATCAAAGACCTCCTGCCTCGACTGGATTGTTTCGCATTTATGAAAATGCACTTGTTCAACAAAATCAGCTTTTAAATCTGTATTTATATGCATAAAAACATGTGTGGAAGAACTTAGTCTGTGAGGAATTTCAGCCATGAGAGTGGAGAAAGACTGCCCTGTTAACTGAACACAAGCTAGGAAGTTTGCAGAAAGTTCTTGCATTTGCTAATGTGTCACCTGTTTCATCTGTCTGTCCTTATTTTCTAACAATATGACCGTTCTTTAAAGCTGACTCTACTGATACGCAGTGCATTACAGACAAGTGCAAATCTACACCACTATGATAAAACATTTCAGATCATTTTGAAGCAAGCTGAAAGTCAAAAATAGCACACCCTAATGTTACCTTATATCTTCAGTTTCTAGCAGATTTATCAACTGCTCATCTATCTGTCTAGTTTAATCTCTTTATACGGGCTCTTCTTTGTGCGTATATTCCGATCAAGTTCTTCAAACGACATGCAGAAGATCAGTAGGATAGCACAATAATGGCTCACTTACCAGAGACTGGATCTCAAAGGTCACACTGCCGTGGCTAAAAGTCACCCAATTACCTCCAAACAAGTCCAAAATCCACCTTGATGTGAAATGCCAAGAGAACATGTGACCGTGGCACTCTCTCTCTCACCACAAAGGCCCTCGGTTCCTCTTCCCTCTTTAGTTTTCTTACAGCCGCTTCTGCTGCTGATGGAGGAAATACAAACGTCATTCATGCAAATGTGACTGGATGACGGCGACAATGTCAAAAAGTAGATGAGAGAGTGAAAGAGGAAGAGAGGAGTGACAGAGAAAATCATTTAAAAACAAAGTTCGGCGTGCTAGCACTGAAGGAACCCAAACCTGAGAGAAGATCAAGCTGCAAAATGGAGATCCAGAGAAAAAGACTAAGGGAGATGGACACAGATAGGAGAGCAAGTGGAGGGAGGGAGAGAGAGAGAAAGTGAGACAGAACTACAGAGTGCAGCACACGACACAACTGAATTAAACTGCAAAACAAAAGAGGAAGTGATGTGAACATGCAGAGCCACCTCAAGCAGATAGTTTCACCCTCAAACACACACACTTGTACAGCTATCTTGATGGGGACTTGCTCTCCTCTTACCCCGTCCCTCACAGGAAGCAACATGCATTTGAACATGATACTTCATTCTGTGTTATCTATGAGCAGTTTTCTTCAAGCGTACCAAACAATTTCCCCACAATGATCAGAATTCACTAGTATTGCTACACTTGTGGATATTTGGTCCCCACAACATCAGGAATACAAGGTAAACACACACTACGCTCACTGCATGGGCTGCACCTGACTTCTGTTTCTGGCTTTTCTCACTCCTTCAGTCGTCCACACACCCACACGCAGAGGAACAGAAGTATACCAGAATGTGTGGCGGTGTAACATTTGATGCTGTATATTGTTATTCATTGATTTTTTTAAAGAGAAATGTTGGCAATTACTCATCAAAAGAGGCTCGTGTCTGGCACCCAGTGATCAGAGAGTGCATTAGCAACCATCTGTGCTTAAACTACAGCAGAGCAGTGGAGGACTCAATACTCCATATAAACAAACTCAAAGCCAAATCCTCTGGAGGAACAGAATATGATTCATTAGCCCTTTTTGCTAAATAGCTCTGACCTTCACTCTCTAATCCTCTCGTGTAATTGTGATTGTAATGGACTGGTGGGGAATAGGTATAGTTATTAACTGAAAAACTACCTCTTTAGGAGTTACAAGCTATTTTATCCTTGTAAGGATTTCCCCCTTTTATGTAGTGTTGTTAATTTTCCTGGGGTAAAGTTCAGTGGTGGAGCATTTGACACTTCAGTGGCCTTTTAAAGAGCATCCTCAGTTCCTTTTCATCGTGATTTGTTGTTCATGCAGACCTTTTTTTAAATGAAGGTTTTTTTTTTTTGCTTCATCAAAGTTCAACCTTTGCATGGGGGTATGGCTCAGTGGTAGAGCATTTGCTTGCAGATCAAGAGGTCCCCAGGTGCCCCCTTTAGCAAGCCCTTGGGTTTGTGTCCGTGACTAACCCTGACTTTGGCACATTGAGTTTGGCTCTTCCTAACGGCATAATCAATCACCTTTTTTTCAACTAATTTTCAAACTGTCCTTCATAGAGTTTTTTTTTTCATACCAAAAGTTCTTATTTTTATGGGGGTATAGTTTAGTTGTAGAGCATTTGACTGCACATCAAGGTCCCTGGTTTAAATTCGGGTGCCCCTTTGGCAAGACGTTGGATTTGTGTCTGTACTTTTCCTTGACACTGGGTTTGACTCATTGTTTTTTATCTCTTCCTAATGGTTTAATCAATCGCCTTCTTTTTTTTTTTTTGCTAATTAATTTTCATACAGACTTTTATGAAAGAGATTTTTTTTTTTTATTGCTATACTAAACATTTTCTTGTAATGGGGGTATAGCTCAGTGGTAGAGCATTTGACTGCAGATCAAGAGGTCCCCAGTTCAAATCTGGGTGCCCCCTTTACCAAGACTAGGATTAGTGTCTGTAACTTACACTGATTTTGGCACATTGAGTTTGGCTCTTCCTAACAGTATAATCAATCGCTTTTTCTTTTCTTTTTTTTTGCTAATTAATTTTCAAACAGACCTTTATGTAAGATTTTTTTTTTATTGCTGTACCAAAGGATACATTTTTTCACGGGGGTATAGCTCAGTGGTAGAGCATTTGACTGCAGATCAAGAGGTCTCTGGTTCAAATCCAGATGCCCCCTTCGCCATGACCTTGGATTTGTGTCTGTACCTTACCTTGACACTTGGTTTGATTCTTGAATTTCTCTTCTTAATGGTTTAATCAATTGCTTTTTTTTTTGCAAATTAATTTTCAACCAGACCTTTATGCGTTTTTTTTTTTTTTTTTTTTTTTTTTTTGCTGTGCCAAAGATTTCATTTTTATGGAGATATAGCTCAGTGGTAGAGCATTTGACTGCAGATCAAGAGGTCCCTGGTTCAAGTCCGCGTGCCCCCTTTACCAATAATTTGGATTTGTGTCTTTAACTTTGGGTGGCGCAGTAGGTAGTGCTGTTGCCTCACAGCAAGAGGGTTGCTGGTTTGAGCCTCGGCTCAGTTGGGGTTTTTGTGTGGAGTTTGCAAGTTCTCTCTGCATTCACGTGGGTTTCCTCCGGGTGCTCCGGTTTGCCCCATAGTCCAAAGACATGCGGTACAGGTAGGCTAAATTGTCTAATGTATGAGTGTGTGTGAATGTTTCCCAGAGATGGATTGCGGCTCAAAGGGCATCCGCTGTGTAAAAACATGCTGGATAAGTTGGCGTTTCATTCTCCTCTGGCGACCGCGGATTAATAAAGGGACTAAGCTGAAGGGAGAATGAATGAATGAATGAATGACCCTGACTTTGGCACATTGAAATTGGCTCTTCCTAACGTTATAATCCTCTTTTTTTTTTTTTGCAAATTAGAGATTTTATTTATTTTTTTTTTTTGTGCTGTACCAAATATCTACTATTTCATGGAGGTATAGCTCAGGGGTAGAGCATTTGACTGTAAATCAAGAGATTCCTGGTCAAATCAGGATGCCCTCTTTGCCAAGTATCTGTAACTTTATTTGTATCTGGATTTTACTTATTGAATTTGGCTCTTCCTGATGGCATAATCAATCGCTTTTTTTGTAATTTTTTGGTAATTTACTGTTCAAGAGACTTTTTTTAAATTTGTATTTTTTTTTTGCTATAGCAGATATTTTTGGTGGACGTATAGCTCCCCACCCCATGGTAGATCATTTGACCACACATCAAGAGGTCCCTGGTTCAAACCTGCGTGCCCTCTTTGGGATCACCATGGCTTTATGTCTGTAGTCTACCTTGACTCTGAGATTGTTGTTGAAGTTGACTCTTCTTAATGGCATAACAGAGATTGCTTTTTTTCTGCTAATTTATTTGTACACATTTAGCTATACTAAATGTCTTTATCCCGGAGCCCTGGTTCAAATCTAGGTGCCCCCTTTGGCAAGGCCTTGGTTTTGTATCTTCTAATTAACTTGACGCTGGCATTGCCTTCTGAAAGCACTTTCCCTTAACCCCCAGGGTTTTAGGTTAACAAAGCCTTCAACTGAACTGATGAATGAAATGTTTTCCTAAAAAAAAAACTCTTGTAGTGTCCCTGTAATAATAATAACAACAGGAACATTTTACACAAATAAACCATTCTGTCTATTAAATAAGTAAACGTGAGACCTTCGTGGTAAATGCAACTGTTCATTCATCTTTTGAATGTAAAGGAGAGGGGACAATACATAACACACAAACACAATGAAACAAATGACACAACCATTGTACAAACAAATCACTCTAGAAATGTGACTTCATTTTCAGAGCGTCAGCATTAGTCTCCACCAAAATCTTTTCGATCCGCTTGTGATACTGCTCCAATGTTGTGAGGAGTCGTTCATAAATTTCCTACAGGCAAAAAAGGAAAAACATCATGACAGAAAACATTTATATAAATGAGTTCTTCAAATCCTTTTGTTCTTTTAACCAAAAATATGAGCGTTATTAATCAAAAGAGAATTATCATCATCATCATCATCATCACACATGTTCACCTGGGCTTTTTGAGTCCGTTGATTGCAATTCTCTCTCAGTGCCTGCATTTTTTCCTTAAACTGTTTTGTTTCACGGTTGCATTCTTCAATTTTTTTCACAATTTCCTGCCGTTTCTGGTGCATTTTGTCATATTGTCTGAAAAATCAATGTTGATTAGATGTGTGCTTCAGAGGAAGCCAAACAAACAATCATAGAGAACTCTTCACTTACCCATAAATATTTTTGACTTGCTGATCTTTCACCTCTTTTTTCTTCTGTCTACGAATCTGTTGTTTGGACTCCTTGTCGAGTTTCATGGTGAGCGCCCTCTTCAGCTGGGCTTCTTCACTGCTCAGGCTTTTCAGCTCTTTCTGCAAGCTTTCATTCATGACTTCTAAACTCTGAACCTGTAGAAGAAATTTACAATGATGATGGAGGCAGGAAAATAATAATGAAATAATAAGCAGAAGAAGCAGCAAAAGCGGAAAATAAAATTGTTTATATATATATGCATGTATCAGTGCATTTACATTTAGAAGACATAATGCATGTCTTATAAATCTAAATACACGGATATCAGTGACTTAAGGCTGATTTTAAGCTACTAACATTTTTTTTAAATACCCAGCTCAAAACAACACCGCTTTAGTATAATCTCTGTATGATAAGCCAATATTCTCATTTTTAAGGAATAATCTGTGGAAGTCATGCACACATTTTGACAGCTAATATGCCAGTGTTTAAATGTTGTTTCACAAAAGTGGCAGACGTCTTTCCAATATCAAAATGCTTTTTTTTATGCAATACTAGAAGGAACTTTGAAATAATGACAGACTTTTATTTTGGGGTATTTCTGTGTGCCTGTTGGTGCTTTACCTCCTCTTTTCGCTGTTTGGTCTTGCTCATGCTGCTCTGCAAGTCCTGCAGCTGTTTGAGCAGGATCTGGATTTCTGCCTCCACCTGACTGGCACACTGAACCAGCATCTGCAGCTCCACCAGCCGCTCATCCGCCAGCTCCTGTCACACACACACACAGACACAGAAAGTAAACCACGGGCACTCTTGGAGATGGAGAATGAGAAGAATCTTGAGAACCATGCGCCTGCAGAATCATGCATACTTTCGACATCTTGATGTTCTTCGCAGTCTCTCTCATTCTTTCCATTTCATTTTTCAGCTCTTCAGGCGACTCCACGATCTGAGACTTGAGCTTTGATATTTCATCCTTCAGTGTCGCCACTTCTACTTTCCTTTGAGTCTGGAGGGAAAATAAAAATTAAAAATAAAAAAGTTGCACATTAAAATTAATTGTCAAACCACACCAAACAGCTCTCAGTATTTTTGGCATTTTTTTTGCGAATTAAAAAAAAAAAATCATTTTATTTCATATTGTTAAACATGCTATATGAAAATCATTTGATTTTATATATATATATATATATATATATATATATATATATATATATATATATATATATATATATATATAAATCATATAGTATCATATAGAGTTAAATGGATAGTTCATCCAGTTATAGTCACTGCTGATCTGGAAGATCAACAATACTTGCATGACATCCAGGAACAAAGTTTGCTTACCAATCACAATTCACTTACCATTATGATGTGATTAATAAGGGTGTAATTCAATTTTTATATAATATATTTCATATATTAACCTCTTTACGTGCAGTTTTTACATGCATTTTTTGCTTCTGTCTTGAACACAGCAGTTTTTTTTTCCTGGCAGTTTTAATGGATTAATAACACACACATATTTTAAACACGTTTCAACTATCAGTAAAAACTATTTTTTTGCCTGTTTTGGACAGCTAAAATAGTGTTTGGGACATTTAATATGCTGCAAAACAAGTGTTATCCTGCAACATGTCTGTAACAAAAATATAAAACATGACAGCTAAAATGTGCTTTCCACGTATGTGGCCACAAAGCTCTAGAAGGTTAAATAAAAAATGATGAAGGTTTTCATTGCATGGACTTTGTAATATTCTCTCATCTTTTCAAAAAATTTTCTTTTTTAAATACATTTATTTAAATAATAATTAATATTATTTTTATTATTATAAAAATAATAAAAAAAGACTTTTTACAGGTGTTGAAAACCATTAGAAGTCCGTAAATATTTTACATTTGAGCATTTAGGAGATGCTTTCATCCAAAATCATCCAACTGCGTACACAACTGGATCAGTGGGATGCAGATGCCGGGACTCAAACCTGCAACCTTTGGATCATAATAAATAAGTGCTGTCTAACCATTATAAAAAATCTTTTTTATATTTTCAATTGTTTTTGAACAAATACTTGAAAAATAATATGTGATCTTTCTTCATGTGAAATTCCTGATAGAATCAAAACACCTAAAAAGACCGTAAACGTAAGGATTTGGATAAGAAATCCAGAATATTCTCCAAATCTGAGTTAGTGTTGTGCAAGTGTCACTCTCAGGTGCATGCAGTCCACACTGAAAAAATGATTCCTGCTAAATTATTGCAAACAGTTTATGTGTTGAACTAAAAAAAACTGACATGGCAATGTGTCTTATAAACGCAATAAATGGAGAGAGGTCTATGAGAACTCCCTGGTACAAATGTATTGTAGACAAACAAAGATGGATATTAATCATCTGTGAAGGAAAATTTCACAGCAAAAATAAATAATCGGTTATAAAACAGAGCACAAACAAGCACCCACACATTCACACGCCGCAGCGAAACCATAGCAACCATGCACACCGCGCTTGAGCCCTGTCCATTAACTACAGCGCTGCCGAGGTCGTCTTCAGGCTTTTAAAATTAGACTTCTATATATTATTCCGGATGGTTTTAGCCAAAGCTTATTCTGACAGCCCTAAATGTGGTTAATGTCAACATAAACAGACGTTTCAGCTGCATTACCAGAGCATTTGAAGTCAGTATGAAATCCATATTTACCTCATTTTCAAATTGGAATCAAGCTGAGAGTGATATTATTAACCTCAGACTTATTCAGAACAAACACACTGGGAAAGCCACACAACTGAGGATATGGTGTGATGAAGCTAATCACAGCCCATTAAAACAAAAACATTTCCGTCCTTAACTTCACCTTTCGAAAATGCTCTGTTTATGTACGAAACCTTCTATGTTTCCACAAAAAATAATAATAACAATAATTTTAAAAATGGTAAATGAAAAATTATATATAATTTTTTTTTAACAATTTAGATTTTGGGTTTTGAAAAAGTACAAAAAGTATTTCCCCAAAATATGTGTCACATCAGATTTGTCAGCAATAATCATTCCATTTGCTGAAACAGAGAAAGCTGTGGCCAAATTAAGACTCAAAATCAGCCCAGAGTGGATGAAAACAACCCAACAGCACAAAAAGGTTAACACACCTATATAAGAATGAGCATAAATAAAAGCAAAAACCAAGTTTATGAAAAGTTTTACGTTCTAATGTTTTGGTTTCAGTGCAGAATCTGCATTTCACTGCTTCAGTATTAAAGTCTACTAAAGTGAATGGCTAAACGATCAGACACTGACCAGTTTCTGTGACAGCTCCGCAATTTCCGTCTTGAACTGTGCAACCTTTTCATTAATTGCGCTCTAAAGAAAGAACAAGCAAAGTCAAGCACAAAAGAAACTGACAAGTGATGAATAAATATGCAAGATCAGCTATGAAAAAGAGTCACATTTTAGGTGAATATTATCGTTAAAAAAAGATATAGGCAACAGTAGTTAATGCAGCAAAACCATATGCAATGTTAAGAGCTGGAATATGTTTTACTTGTATATAAAAGTAAACTAGTATACATTTCTATCATTAACAACTGACCACATCTTGGTATTCATGCTGTGTGTTAGTGCTCAGCTCTGCCAGGGCGGACGCCAGCTCTTTAGCTTCTGCTTGCTGCTCTGGTGGTATGGTACTGTGAAGGACAAACAGCTTACATTCATACACGCATATAATGAAATAATGGAAAAACAATATTAAAAAACAGAAATGTACAGATAAGAAAGGTTTGCATTTACGTCAGCTTCTCAATCTTCTTCTCAGCCTCTTTTATTTCTCTTGTGTATGCCTGGAGTCGGTCCATATCAGCTCGCTGTTCAAAAAATAAAAAACAAGTCAACTGCAGGAATCTGTGAACAACTAAAAACAATGAGCATGAACTAGGGCTGGGTGGCAAAACCAGAATTGCAAAGTAAATGCTCTCAAGAAAATTATATATTACAATAATTCACTGTAACCTTTATGCAGTATGCAGATAATAAACAGCATGGACATTACTGCACTATTCCATTTATTCCTGCCTTTATGCAAACAAATACAGCTTTCAATAGAGACCAATATATTAAATCTTTTGTGATATATTTTGGCCAATATTGTCCATCCAGCCTTATTATGACTTTTTTCTTTAGAAAAGAAAGCATCTTACAAAACTTTGCTGGTGGGCTGCAGTAATTTCCAACCTCTGCTTTCTGAAGTGCAGGAAATTCTGGATTGCGCTGAGTATAGTGATTGTTCGCTTCGTCTCTGTCAAACGTCAAGGAAAAAACAACAACAGGTCAGCATCACCTTTCAAAACCAATAATAATTAAAGATGAAAAACTTTCTGTAACTGTGAAACAGTAAAGTTATTCAGGATTAAACCATATGAACAGGGCCAAGTGTTATGGGACAGTCTACATAACCAATATTGTAAAAGAAAAGTGTAAATTAAATTAAATGCTGAAAATTACAATTTAACAGTAGCAAGAGTCAAAACGTGAACTAGCTTTATTAAACAGTTTAAAATCAGAATTTGTCCGATATAACTTTTATTTGTTAACTAATTACAATCACATTTTTCCATAATTTACAGAAGGCATCCACTGGAAGACATGAAGTATAACACTAGCTTGTCACAAGATAATGTCAGGCATATTTACAAAAAGAATCATTGAGATTCCTTGTAATTCTCTTTTTATAATCGTTCACCTTTAATATTAGGTTTAACAAATTATGCATTTAATTGGTTGAAATAGAATACATTTCAGTACAATCACTCATTCTTATGTAGTTTAGGTCATTTAATTTTCACAACGATATACATTGCACTCTATAGGAAGAGAATGAACTAAAAACTTCTCATATATTGACCTTTTCACAACAGTTTTCTGACACATCAGACCACTACATATAATCTTTCTCTGTACAGTTGAATGATTGGCTCCTGTGAAAATCATTTTTCCAAATATTTCGCAAGTGATGTTTAAGGAAGAGAGGTTTGACACATAGCACATAGCATTAATAATTAAATTCTTATAACTAATAATTATTTGTTATTTTATTTGTAATAAGTTATTTGCAAGATACTAGTATTTAGCTTAGAGTAATTTAAAGGCTTCACTAGGTTAAATAGGCTGTCATTGGACAACAGTGGTTTGTTGTGTAGACAATGAAAAATATTTTAAGGAAGCAAATAAATAAAAAAATGTAATCGCTGGGGGGAAAATACACATTCACTGCAAAAAAATAAATGCTTTTCTTACTTGGTTTGTCTCGTTTTTAATCAATGAGGTAAACAAAATCTGATGTCAACAGGAAGAACAAGATTTATCTTACACACATTATTTTGCTTGTTTTAAGGACCTAATTTTGGCATATTTATTAAGCAAGACAATATATTTTTTGCTTATAAGGAAAATGCATCTTCACTAAAAAATTTTAATATTTTGGAAATATAACAGCATATTGTAAAACAGCACTTGGGAAATATTAAAAAAAAATAATTAAAACTTTTACAAGAGAGCTTGTAATTTTGCCTTTAACTATATGTAAAAATTTTTTTTTATAAATCCAAGTTGGTGCATACTCTGACCCATCACCCTAAAATAACAATGCTTTTTTTGTGGTTGACCATTTACCAAGCAGACATAAATAAATCTCTCACTGATGTGCTCAGAGCCAGAGAAAGAAAGAAAGTCACTTACTGGGGTTGAGCAGATCACTCAGTGAAAAATCATACACACGGCAGACCGGTAAAAACTGGCACCTACAAAAAGCAAAGTGTAAAGAAACTCACTGCTGCAGAACAGACAAGACATTTCGTTTTGCTCATGTATGCTGAATAAAGCACTACAGACGTCAGTAGAAACTCTTACATGCGCATGTAAACGCTCATGATTGGAGCAAACGACTCGTACAGCATCGGGTACTGAATGTTTTCAGACAGCGGCACCTGTGCAGAATAGGAGTAAAGACATTCACAAACATCAAAATGAACAGATTTGATAATGCCGATGCAAATGAGTAAATAACACCACACTCACCGTGTAATGGCACTCAGGTCTGAAACGAAAGAGAAGCTGCAAAATTCTCATGTAGAGCCTTTGAACGGATTCTGGCTGCAAATGAAACGAATAATAAATGTTAGCTACTCATTAATTTACAAGGTGATTTCAGGAAGAAGAATATAAGACTTTAAAACAATAACTTTTACTGTGTAACTTGTATTCTTCATTAGTATCTTCGACTTGTTTTCCAGTGGAAAAGTCTAAATATTCTGAAAAGGCAAATTTTCTTGGAAAACAAATTTACCTGAGGTGAAAAGTCTTATTTTCTGTAAAATGTATGATTGCAATATATATATATATATATATATATATACATACATACATACATATACACACACACATATATATATATACACATACATATATTTATACATACAGTTGAAGTCAGAATTATTAGCCCCCCTAAATTATTAGACCGCTTGTTTATTTTTTCACTAATTTCTGTTTAACAGAGAGCAGATTTCTTCAACACATTTCTAAACATAATAGTTTTAATAACTCATTTCTAATAACTGATTTATTTCATCTTTGCCATGACGACAGTAAATAATATTTTACTACATATTTTTCAAGACACTTCTATACAGCTTAAAGTGACATTTAAAGGCTTCAATAGGGTAATTAAGTTAACTAGACAGGTTAGGGGAATTAGTCAAGTTATTGTATAATGATGGTTTGTTCTGTAGATTATCGAGAAAATATACAGCTTAAAGGGGCTGATAATTTTGTCCCTAAAATGGTTAATAAAAAATTAAAAACTGCTTTTATTCTAGCCGAAATAAAACTAATAAGCCTTTCTCCAGAAGAAAAAATATTATCAGACATACTGTGAAAATGTCCTTGCTCTGTTAAACATCATTTGGAAAATATTTAGAAAAGAAGAAAAAAAAATTTAAATAAAAAAAATTGAAGGGGGCTAATAATTCTGCCTTCAGCTGTATATTATCTGCCAGAGGGCGCAGAAAAAATGTCTTAATTCAAATCAAGCAGACTATGAAGGATATTTATTTTCAATTTGTTGATAATCTCAAGTAAACCTATCTTAATATAATGAATTAATTTAAATAGCAAATAAAACAAATGAAGATATTTATTTTTGCAGTACATGCCATGAGTAATCCCACTTCTAAATGCTGTAGTAATTCATAGTAAACACTACAGCGTTTTCAAACCATACTATATCAAGTACTTGCATTAATAAGTCAGCACAACAAAGACAGTAATATATACACAAGTTTCCCAATACTATAGCTTACTACAAGAGTCTATTACAGCAGATAACAGTATTAAAAACTAAATTAAACTACAGTATTTCTAATTAGTTTGTCAGTTCACTATAGTTATTGCTAACATTGCAGTATGCAGGAACATTTATTAACAGAGTTGTTAATACTGTAATATTTAGACACATTACTACAGTGCAGTTTAACCCTATATATAGTATATTTCATGTGCAATAAATGTATGACTTTCTGCTTTGATTTAAGACCAGTTAGTCCTAAGTTTTGTAGAGAATCACAACCAAACCCCACAAAAAACTAAAACCCAATGCTAGTTTAAATTGACATTATTGTACACACTTGAGTGAGAGATGAGAATAACACAGAGGAATAATACCTTAGGAGTCGGAGTGAGGTCATTCTTGGTGAAATGTTTAGACTCTTGTCCAGTCAAAACCTCAGTTCGGTAAAACTGCACTATAACATCCACTTTGTACACCGGGAACGTGTTTTCAGACATGTCTGCTGCTCAAGAGAAACAAATGACTGTAATGAAGTACTGAGCGACACTTCACTGTTTACTGGCACAACACAGACCGCCCTCATAACAACAACAACAGCATTAAAGTAACACAAAGGCAACATTCAAAGCTCCGACAGCGGGAAATCACAGATACATAATTATATTACCGTCTTTTTCACATTGCCTGGCCGCCATAACTAAAAATACACAATAAATACAAAATTTATTCACCAGCCAAGTTCACAACAACGTCCCTCGCCGTCAACTGAAGCAAATTTTAAACTTTAGGCGCCTCCTTTGACGTCACTTCCGCTACATCACGTGTCATCACAGAAGCAATGCGCGGCGGCCTCTACTGGACAGTTTATGCTCCAACATGAATAAACAATACACGCGGTATAGTGTGCATAGTGTGCAATCAAATCTATTAGAATAAGTATTTGACTATTGGTATTAAAATTTAAAAAATTTAACTTAATTAAAATAAATATTAGACAGACAGACAGATCTCTGACAATTTACAATTCATATATTGAAAATATTAATCGAAAATATTCATCGAAAACAAATATAGCTTAAAGGGGCTAATAATATTGTCCCTAAAATGGGTTTTAAAAAATTAAACCTGCTCTTATTCTAGCCAAAATAAAACAAATAAGACTTTCTCCAGAAGAACAAATATTATCAGACATACTGTGAACATTTCCTCAATCTGTCCAACATCATGTGGGAAATATTTAAAAAAAAGAAGAAAACAATTCGAAGACAATCGACAATCCTTTAACTGTTCATTGGTCTGTAAATCATTCATCAAATTGTCCAATTTAGAGGACATGTTCAGGAAAAATTTATTTTTTTTATAAATGTTTTATTTGACACTAGTTCAACATTTTTGTATGTAATGACTCCAGTAATGAAATGAGGACTATTAGTTTAATATGGAGTGACTATTCAGCATTCACACGTTCAGTTAATTTTGACAGACATGACATAAGCAAATGATGATGTTTTAAAACAGCAGAGAGTTTTATGAAAGCAGTTGATGCATGGCCAAAAGCATTTGAAATTTGCTGGAAGGAATGAGAAACTGCTACTCGGATGTGCACAGATGACTATAACTGAGAAATGCATGACCTGTTGTGCAAATGTAAACAGAGTTGTGAGAGATGACTGTAAATACTGTTTAACAAAAAATTCACAGAAAGAGCAAAACACATCAATGTTAAATTTAGAATCTGTGAAGTATTTTATTAAGTATTACTCTAACTTTACCAGTTGAAAAAAAATCTTGAGGAGAGGAGAAACATACAGGGGTGGTCAGAACAGTCCCTCCAGAACTGAGTTTGTATAGGCCTATCCATCATAAAGGATATTCCAATAACAGTGGAGGACTTTGAGGTAACACGATCCAAAATAAATAAATAAATAAATAAAGACCTGGCGTAATTATGGCCTTAATAAAATTTATCTGTTGTACATTTATTGAAAAAAAAAACATTTGGACAGTATTTGGCTTCCAAAAAAAGCTAAAACCTGAAAATAAATCGCCTTTAAACCTGTCCTTAGAGAGTGCTTAACAACTGCAATGCATATCCCAATTTAAGAAATAGGTTTTGATATTTAATTTAATTTCACTGTCTTGTCGGCTTAGTCCCTTTATTAATCCAGGGTCGCCACAGCGGAATGAACCGCCGGTTTTGATTTTTACAGTAGAATATTTACAAATAAATTAACGGAACACTCCGATTTTTATTATTATTTGCATACAATAAAACAGCAATGTATATTTTGTGCGTCAAGGTACATTTAAACCGATTTCAACTCAAACTCAGGAAAACAGAAGAGCGCGCGGATAACAGTTAAGCCTCGCGTATAAACAGCGTCGCGGATTGGCTGAGTGGACCTCGACGTCAGAATCTCCGCCACTGCTTTACTGTGTATGCTATAGTGTGAGTTTATCAGTGACTAAAAATGTGATTATTTTAAACACGACCAGTGCAGTCGAGTATCTCATTTACCCTGGACATAATTCACCATGGTAAATCTGTCAGGCGCCGCGCTCAGACACCTAAAGCTGCTGATGTTGTTTATCTCTTCCGCGTTGGCGACTCTGCAGGTGCTGTAAGTGTGTGTGTGTATCGGTGTGTGTGTGTGTTTCTCCACGTCACTGTCTTTCTCTCCCGGTATAGTGTCATCACCAGAGTCTCCTACAGCTTTCTTTCACCGGAGACTCACCGCGCACACAGCGATGTCATTGCTGGACTCCGATGACAGCTACGATCTAGTCTTCAAAATAGTTCTGGTCGGAGATGTCGGCGTCGGTAAAACTTGTGTGGTGCAGCGGTTCAAAACCGGCATATTCATCGAAAAACAAGGCAACACCATCGGCGTGGACTTCACCATGAAAACACTGGAGATACACGGCAAAAGGGTTAAGGTTAGTTCTGTAACGCTGAGTTAGTTGATGCTAGCAGCTCACTCAAACTGTGATGGCGGGTGTATTCACACATTTGGACTTTCCGCTTAATAATAAAAGTTCAGAAAAGTAGTGTTTGCCATTTCTAAATAGTTGAATCATATTATCAGTCAATATATATTAAAGTACAACACTGATCACACTCAGTTAAATAGAGCTGGTGTTGTTCTGAAGTCATATTTACATGACTGAATGTTGAAAGCAGCGTAATAAACAATATAGAGAGCGAGTCAAGCTGACACTGTTCAGAAATCAGCGAGTATAAAACCTTCTCCATCTCAGTCAGACGACAGTTATTGTGATAAAGTTCAGAAGTTTTAGAGTTTGGTAATAGTAGCTGTGGTGATTTGGCGGACAGCAGCACTGAAGGGGGAAAGTCTGTTTCCTTTGACATCATGACTCATGACAAAAGACAAGAGACTGAAGTGTGTTGTTAGCTTTAGGGCTTAAAGTTGGCACACACAGTGTCATTGGACAGTTATGCAATGGCTGAGGTGGTTGTTAAGCTGTAAACAATGTCTAAATGAACCGATCTGTACATTCATTGAGCCTAATGGACTTTTCAAACTACGTTTATATTATTCTGTATTGGGAAAACCTGCAAGCAGGAGTAGTTCAGGTCAGGTAAGCCAACTAAATGAGGTAAAGTTGGTTTTATATTCACATTTATTTAGTGATTCGCTAAATATATTGTTTACCATGGTACTTTGGTAGAGCTACGCATCGATGAATTTGCTCTTCAGTGTTTGAACTCTCGGTAATGATTTTAAATCACACTGAACTGAGCTAAACTGAACTGAACTTAAACACTAAAAACTGAACTACCCTGTTCCAGTTACTATGACCATTTATGTGAAGCTGCTTTGACACAATCTACATTGTAAAAGCGCTATACAAATAAAGCTGAATTAAATTGAATTGAACAACATTAGCTCTGTTTAACTGACTGGCGAATGCTGAATGCTTTGGCTGATTATATGATTTCACTATTTAGAATGTGCAAAAAATACTTTTGTGAAATTAAATTATCAAGGAGAATGCCCGAATGAGTGAATATAAAACCAACTTTACCTCCAAAATACAAATGTATGGCATTGACAGTTTTCCACACCTTTATAGAAGTCTAACCTGACTCTTGTCTCAAATTAAATGCATCCGCTTTCCTCTGACTGATTTTTTTATCATTGCTGCTGTTGTGTTTTACATTATTATATCATGATATAAAGTTGAAGTCTGATTTATTCGCCCCTCTGTTTATTTTGGTCCCCAATTTCTGTTTAACGGAGAGCAGATTTCTTCAGCACATTTTTAATCATAATAGTGTTAATAATTCATCACTAATAACTGATTTATTTTCTCTTTGTCATGATGACAGTAAATAATATTAGACTAGATATTCTTCAAGACACTAGTGTTCAGCTTACAGTGACATGTAAAGGCTTCACTAGGGTAATTAGGGTAAAGTTAGGGTAATTAGGCAAGTCATTGTATAACAGTGGTTTGTTCTGTAGGCTAATAATATTGACCTTAAAATGGTGTTTAAAAAATTAAAAACTGCTTTTATTCTAGCTGAAACAAAAAAAATAAGACTTTCTCCAGAAGACAAAATATTATCAGACATACTGTGAACATTTCCTGAATCTGTTCAACATCATTTGGGAAATATTTAAGAAAGAAAAAAATTTAAAGTGGGGTGAATAATTCTGACTTCAACTGTATGTGTGTAGTTTGAGCTTGAGGAAGCTCTTCAGTATTAGGGGAATTCCATATCAACTCAAAGAAGATATCATTTCTATGAAGAAAGAATGGTGATTAAAAGCTCAGTATTAGTGTAGAATGTCACTAATTAGTCACACAATTAGTGTAAAACAGACACCGATGGCTTTAAATGATAACCTTTCAGATTGGGAGGAAATTTATAAGGTGGAATTATTTGCATGATTTTATTTTCACTCCTGTTGACTTTTGCAGTTATTCACTGATTCTGATTCTTCACCTGAAAGGAAAAGACGAGATGCACCACTTTGGTGTGCATGAATGTGTATACACAGCACAAGCAAAACGCATAATTTAATATTTCTAATAGCTTTATTAGAATAAATCGACTGTATTATGACTGAAATAATGTTCCGTCGCCATTCAGTGTGTTGTTTAACATATACTATGAAAATTCAAAATTCTAAAAATTATTATTATTATTATTTATTTACTGCTTACAAATGGGTTAAACCTAGTGGTGTGAAGGAAAATCTGTACAGTATAAAGACTTACAATGACACTTAGTGAGTTTTCTGGGATCGTTTGTAATATGTCAACAAATGATTCTTGCAAATACGCCAGAGGTCACTAAAACATAATTCAACGCAACAATAGTTACAAAAAATAACCACTGTTACATTGAGTGATATGTTAGTCACTTCTGTAAATCACATGAGAAATGCACAATAAACCTAGTCATTAAACAGCATACAGCAATGTTTGGGGAGTTTAAAACACTAGATTTAGAGCTGTATGACTGTGTTATCTTTCATCGTTTCATGCTTAGACTTGTGTTTGACATTGACCTATGCACAAATAGAGAGTGATTATAATAATCGACCAACACCTTGCAAATAATGAACTCCTGCTGATTGTAAATGTGTTGAACACTGAGAGTCAGCATGACAGTTCCCCTGCTGGAAGCTGAACTTAGTCTGTTTGAGTCTCCATTGTGAAATCTCATTGGCTGAGTCAGCGAACGTCAGCTCTTTCCATTGTGTTTGCTGAGGCCACGTTCACTATTGACTTTTACCATGTCAAGATGATCAGCTGAGTTTCTGCAGAGATCTCAGAGTAATGCTGCATCAAATCATTTAAAGTAATGCAAAGAGAAACGCCTGATGGCGATCAACCAACAGTGTTGGGGAAAGATAAAAGTAATCTATTTTTCATTATTTTAATAGTAAAATATTACAATCTTGCATTACTTTTAAAAAAAATAAATGTTTAACTTAATTACAAATGAAGTCATATATTTTTTAAACACATTTCTAATCATAATAGTGTTAATAACTCATCTTTAATAACTGATTTATTTTCTCTTTGTCATGATGACAGTAAATAATATTAGACTAGATATTCTTCAAGACACTTCTATACAGCTTAAAGTGACATTAAAAGGCTTCACTAGGGTAATTAGGCAAGTCATTGTATAACAGTGGTTTGTTTTGTAGTCAAATATATATATATATACACACATATATATATATATATATATATATATATATATATATATATATATATATATATATATATATATAAACAAAATAAAATTACCGGTAAAATTGGCAAATTGTCCCTCATCCCAGCAGAAAAAAGCAGCAAGCCTGCATTGAAGAATGCACAATCATCTGCTGTCATGGCTTTACAATAAAAAAATGTGATTATAATGGAAGTAAATGGTGCAAAAACAGCCACTATCATAGGAAAGGCAGGTACAATTGTCCAGTATATTGATTTTATGAAAATTTTCAAAGCATTTTCCCAAAATAAATGTCAATATACGATTAGTCAGCAGAAATCCTCCCATTTACTGAAACACAGAGAAAGCTGTGGCCAAATTGAGACTTAGAATCGGCCCAGAGTGGATGAAAACGACCCAACTGCCCACACAGGTTAATATATGCATTATGTAGAAGTGGGTAGCATGTTCACCTCACAGCGAGAAGGTCGCTGATTCGAGCCTTGGCTGGGTCAGTTGGTGTTTCTGTGTGGAGTTTGCATGTTCTCCATGTGTTGGCGTGGGTTTCCTCCGGGTGCTCAGTTTTCCCCCACAAGTCCACAAAACATGTGGTATAGGGAAATTGGGTAGGCTGAATTGTCTGTAGTATATGTGTGTAGATGGGTGTGTATGGGTGTTTCCCAGTAATGGGTTGCATCAGTTCAATTTAATAAAGGGACTAAGCTGAAAAGAATATGAATGAACAGAAGTCTTGATTGAGAATGTAAGGTGTGTTCAGTAGGCGTGTGTCAGTACAGTAATGACACTACTGAGTGCGGTGTCTGTGCTATAGTTACAGATTTGGGACACAGCCGGACAGGAGCGGTTTCGCACCATCACTCAGAGTTACTACCGCAGCGCTAACGGAGCCATCATCACATATGACATCACCAAGAAAGCCACGTTTCTGTCTGTGCCCAAGTGGATGGAGGATGTGAAGAAATACGGCGGCTCCAACATCGTTCCTCTTTTAATCGGTGAGTGCCATTTTCAGCGTGCGCAGTTTAATCTGACTCATGCACTTGTTTGAAGAACCAAATGAGCCAGAGATCAGTTATCAAGATTAACAGATCCAGGATCTGCCAAATCCTCTCAGATCAGTTTAGCGAGGTATGAAGAACAGACGCCAGGTCTCTGTTATGTGATCTGTGTTTATTTAATATATTGCTATGAACAGCCATAAGCTGCTGACGTCTTTGAGTAGTGTTAACAACAGATACTTTTACTCCGCTCTGGTACTGTTTACTTGAGGATGATCTTCAAGCTCTTTCCACCACTGCAGGTAATAAATGCGACCTGTCGGAGTCTCGCGAGGTGCCGCTGGAGGACGCGCAGACCATGGCTCATCAGCTGGATTTCGTGAGCGCCATCGAGACATCAGCCAAAGACTCTAGTAATGTGGACGAGGCCTTCAACAAAATGGCCAGCGAGCTCATTCTCCGGCACGGCGGGCCCATGTTCACCGAAAACGTGACCGACAGCTTTAAACTGACAGGCAAGGATGTGGCCGGCGAGGGCTGGGGCTGCGGCTGCTGATGACCGGCTTCAGAAAGCAATAACAGCTCGAGTTCTTCAGCACAGATCAACCCTGTTTACATGGACACCAATACTGTGATTTAAATAGGATTAAGACAATACTCTGATCAAGAGTCCACCGTGTAAACAGATGACCTAACGCAGGGGTGCCCAAACCTTTTCTTATGAAGGGCCACAAATTAAACTTGATTGAGGATAGTGGGCTGAAGCTGAATATAGTTGCTCTGGGTAATTATTTAATTATATTAAACATAACTAGAAAACATTTCAGTATATTAACTGATGCAGTCTTTGTTTTTAAATATATTTTTTACAGTAAAAACTAAATCTCATTGATGACAGACTGGAGTAAAACTAGTTTTTGCCTTAATTTGCTCTCGGAAAAATCTGATCTTAACATTTAATTGAAACATTCCAGTTCAGTTTGCTTTGTTTGTAGCTCAGAAATAAATAAACAAACAAAAAAAGGCCACGCCAAATGCGAAATGGCCCCCAGCCCTCTCCATCCTTCTCAGTCTCTTCTCAGATAGGATGGTTGGCCAAATCACAGGTTAAAATAGGCCAACTTTTGCCCCCGGGCCCTAGTTTGAGCATCTCTGGACTAAAGTTATAAAGAAAGTAAACTAAAAGTGAATGAAGACGTGTGGAGTCTTCCTGGTCCAGTACAGACATGGAAACACCACAATCAAACTATTACCGTCATGCAAGACTTTTCCCTATATTTTGTGACGCGTCCAGTTGTCCGGCATTCGACCACAAATGAAAACGGCTTTTGGGTGCAATGCTGAGAATTCTGGGAGAAACGGACATCATGAAGAGCCTCGAGTCTGAATGAATGAAGGGTCAGCGGTGGCCTGTTGCTGGAGAATGTGTATCCACCCTCATCTCTTTGCAGGCGTAGTGTGAGAAATGAACTGCAGTTCGACTTTCAGTCGCAAAATTATAAATTAAAACACCCAAAATCAACGATAGTGCCATCATGATGAACATTAAACGCTGGAGGAAACTAGCGTTGGTGACATAATGATAATAATGCATTAGAGTTGCACGCTTTACCAGTAGTCTGGTAGTATCGCGATACTATGGCTTCAAAATATTGGCAGTGCCACTGTAGTTTATAAACGGTCATATCGTCATTATCTACAATAGATAAAGTTTGATGTGGAAAATTCACTAAAATGCTCAAACGTTTGTGCAACAAGGCACTATTTTATTTGAATAGTTTGTGAAGCTCTTTAAGGTTATACATTTTCTGATGTTTTCTGACGTTTCAAACTCACATCTGAATCAATTAATTCTGTTCCTCTCATTAAGATTTAGAAGCTACAACAACCGTGACGATCTCTTAAAAAGAGCGACTAGCAAAGTGAAATCTGAATTACTTTGGATGGTTGCCTGATAAGACTGAAAAAAACAACAATAGATGGAAAAACCCAAAACAGCAACTAATTCTGACCACTTCATATCGCCTATATTGTTGGAAAAAAGCTATTTTTGTAACAATTTTGATTTGATAATTTTTATTTGTATTTTTTTTTGGTCAGATATCTACAAAATAAACAAAAATAATGAATATTAGATGAAGTGACATGCAAAAAATACTGTTTTTTCAATAATAAGGGAATTCTGAATTAAATTCACCGATTATTACCTTTTATAACATGTAAAACTGCATTTCTGACCATTTCCTTTATCATTTGAGTTATGAATTATTGTTATCATGACACTTCAGCTGGTTTAGTATCGTAAGATACCCTACTATGCACTTTAAGATGTAAAACAGGATCATGACAGGAGCACTGAACAGCAGCTCATGTAAAGTCCTCCATCATATTATTGTCTTATTCAGATTGAGGTAAATCAATAATCACTGATGTCCATGTAAACAGAGTCACTGAGGGTGTTCCTGCATCCAGTAGCTTATAGAAGACTCCTGGAGCCACCCGGAACAGTGTGAAATCTTGGGCTAGAGACTATATTTAAATGCCAAAACTGTCACGCATTGTGTAAATCACAGCCAATCCAAATTTATGTCCAGCCGTTCTCATTAATCACTTTCATCCAAAGCCAATTTTTTAATCTAATGTAACTCTTATAATAGTATTTTAAATATGATGAACAGCTCGGGTAGCTGGCGTGGTGGACAAATAACAGCGCATGGTGATGGTGACTCAACCACAGCCAATCAGAACACACTTGCAGTAATGTGTAGCAAGACTTTAGACCAATGAGATTTCATGAGCGGGGCTTCTTAGTGCAGTGCCGGGGTAATGGTAGCCGAGCTGTTGAGGTCACACACTTAGAAGATCTTACTGTATGCGTTAAATCTATCCAGGATGTATATTTATGTAGTGTTTTTAATGATGTAAACAAGGCTGTGAGAGATATTTCTCAACATTAGTTCATCTGTGTGATGGACACAGCAGTGAACCACACTGAGCTCTCGCTTTCTCAACTCTTATTTAAGCGTCTTTCTTGAGACAGAAACGTGCAATAACACGATCTCCAAGTTGCATCCACCGAACCCGGCTCAGATCAGACGATCATCACAGACAAAACATGTCAATTCTTTGTAGCAACATGCTAATCCATGTGCTGAAACATGCTCGCAACGTACTGAGCCATGTTAGCCACATTAAAGCAGAACAGAAACATGTTGGTAAACATGCAGCCGTCTGTTGACAATGTTAGAAAAGTGTTAGCATTATGCTAGGCTTGCATTAAAGCATGCTAGAAACATGTCAGTTGATGATAGCAGAAAGATGCTAGGTTTTAAAACATTAGAAATGGGCTAGCAACATTTTATTACCTGTTTGATTTTAAAAACATGCTTGAAGCTGGTTAAATCATGCTTCCAGCATCTCAAACAAGCTAGCATCATGCTAATTTAACATGTTAGCAACACAACAAGTAATATTAGCCACATTAAACAAATAAGAATGGTTAGAAACATGTTCTTTGTGTTAGAAATATGCTAACCATGTTAGCTAGAAACATGCAAACATGCTAGGTGATGCTAGCAGTGTCTGTTAGAAGCATGCTAACCTAGTTTTAAAACTTGCTAGCAACATTTTCTTTCATGTTAAATTCGTTTGAACATGTAAAACATGCTAACATCATAATTCGCTGACTTGTTAGCAACACAAGAGATCATGCTAGCCACAAACAAATTAGAATAGAAACATGTTAACAAACATGCTCTTCATGTTAGCAACCATGTTAGCTAGAAACATGCAAAACATGTCAGTTCATGCTAGCTAGTTCAGCATTAGAACATGCTAACCTGGTTTTAAACCAGGTTAGAAATGCGCTAGCAATTGTTTCTAATGTTGAACATGAAATAAACATGTTAGCATCATGCTAATACATGTTAGGCATGTGCTGAGAAATGCTAATAGCATTGTATTGACTTCAGCTTTATCCAAGCTCAACCGCCACGATTATAATCCTCCTGATCACTATTTCCAGAGCTTTTGTACAGCGGCTCACCAGCTTTTAGATATTCCAGTCAACATTACTGATGCTGAAGTTTGTTGAGCAGGGGTGTCCAAGCTCAGTCCTGCAGAGTTTAGCTCCAACGTCCTTCAACACACCTGCCCGGAAGTTTCTAGTACACCTGCAAAGAGCTTGACCAGCTGTTCAGGAGGGTTTCATTGGGGTTGGAACTGTAATATGCAGGACACCGACCCTCCAGGACTGAGTTTGGACACCCCTGATGTAGACAAATCACTTCCATGACAGAACATGCAGTTAGAGCTGGTTTATCTGATGCTGATTTGAGCAGTCATGATCCGTAAGACGTCTGTTTGCTTTTAGCGTTTCGATTATTACTGTGGTAAATGACCTGCAGTTTTCCTCTCATCATCAGATTATATCCTGCATCATGTGTGTTTATAATCTGGCCAGTTTAAAAGCAAAGTAGACTGTTTTCCTCTATTGAATTGGCATTTTAATACAGATGGGCATTGATATTTTATATTGCATTCATTTAAACACACCGCGAGGCCTCGTTAAATTATATTAGTAATTAAACTATTATTATTTTAGATGCTAACTAGTTTTATAATATTGCACCATGTTTAATTCGTGACAAGATTGCGCTGAATTGGGGAAGCCGCATACGTTTCATCTCAGTCAGAGTCAGCAGAGCCATTGTAAATGAAATAGCCTATATTTATATTCCTCTGCAATATCCTGTTACGTATCCTCAGAGCACATTTTGGTACTTCTCATATATCCTTGATTAATATAATAGTGTTTAAATCAAGAAGTAAAATCAAGCTTTTACATCAAGAGGTGGTGGCAGACTGTGAGAGTGTAAAGTGCTGGGCTTCATGTGCTGTAGCGTGAGCGTGAATGAGGGCAGTGTTTGCAGTGCAGTCGTGTCTGATGTACTTGTAGGTGAATCAGACTGCGGGAGGGTTCTTGCCAGATTATATAGTGCCTTTAAAAACAGCTGTAATGTTGCTGTGGTTGTGTTTTTGTAATATTACTATGCATTTTGATGTTTTTAAATCACGATGTTTTAATGGACAGGTTTTTTAATGTTTTGACAGACATGATCGATTTGTATTCTGTGTTAAATTGTTATTCAGTTATTTTATCAATAAAGCATTCACGACATGACCTGTGTGGAAGACTTGATAACATTTAGCTGTCTTTAACCACTTCTGTCAATACAGATGTTTATGTTGTTTAACGATGTGGCGTTTTGGTGACGCTTTAAATGCAAATGAGATTCAGAAGAGGGCGGAGCTACAGACGGCTGTGCATCATCATAGTGTTGGACAGGGTGATTAATCGAAAAGTAATTGAAATCGTCATTCAGAACCTGTAATCGATCAAATCTATCTAGGTCAGTTTTTCCCAATTATATTGCCTACCGCGAGTGGAGTCATGTGACGCCGCTCTGTTTACATTTCTGCATTGAGCAGAGCGTATGGTCTGGCGAAGCCTTCACTCATTCACATACCCCTTGCTGTGATGCCGACGCTGACCTCTCAAAAAATAATTAACTACATGTGCTAAGATGCGTATCGCAAGCTCTGAGATTGGCCAGCTTAATAGCGTTGACGAGTGTAGGTGTTGATTTTAGGCCAAATTGCCAGATGTAAGCAGCAGTGTGTGTGTTGTGAGTGCTGGTCAGGTGTGTGTGTGTGCTTGATGCTTCTGTCAGTCTATGTCTCTGTTCATCTAGAACTCCACATCTATAATCCTCTTAGTCTATGCTGACATTATCTTCAGCAGCTCAAACACTGTAATGGCTAATGGACAGACGGCTGCTTCTCACTCAGGCCTGCTGATTATGCTAATGAGATGGAGAGATGGGAACTAGTGGGCGGGGCTTTCCCCCTCTGATGACACGTACAGCAGGAGAATGTCAATCACAGTGTTTCTGCAGAGTCTGATCAGAACAAACACAATTCATTAATGTTGAGCATTAGAGGCTGCTGGAGACACACACACACACACTGCTGACACACACCACTGGATTTAACCCCCACATTAAAGTGATTTCTGCATTATAGGTATTATAGATTTCATTAAGACTAACACTGATACTAGCATCTAAAAAGCTTTATTAATTGTTATTAGATTCACAGGACCTTTAAGGATTGGCTTTGGTTAGGGTCAGGTTCAGTAGCAGAATATATGGCATCATATGAAATGTATTTTGGTGTGAACCTTTAGCACGTTAATCCTAATCAAATGAAAAAACCAATGACAAAGTGAATGGCTTTTATTTTCTACAAGGTTTTGTCTCAGTGCAAATATTACCGTAATATTACAGCGTAACAGTAAACATAAATAACTTAATAAAGGGAGAGGATGTAAGAAATGACTGGAACTGGCACGGCGACAATATTGAACACGCGGAGTTAATATGAAGTAAACTCTGCCGAAATAATTACCTGTAACAATAAAGCAGCCATATATTACAGTACACTACTGTAACGGGACTTTAACAACGCTGGGAAATAACACGGTAACACTTTACATGAACAGAGTGTTCATAAGACTGTCATGAAGCCTTTATAATCGTGATGTGACGCATCTTAGTGAATCAGATTCAGTGCATGCTTATAACAACTCTCATTAAGTGTCATTTTACTCGGTTCTGGCAAAGATGACATTGATTGTTATGACAACTTGACACAAACAAATACATCACAACCAGTTTTTCTTTGTCATGACAGCTAGACATAACCAAGACAAGAAAACTTGTCATAAATCTGTCATAAACATGACTGTTGGCATTATAACTGTCATGGATTTTATAACAGTGTTATTAATATTTACAGCGGCACAAGCTGAATTTGGCGTTAAAATGTCATTAAATATCATTTATACATGCAGATTAGGGTTGTAACAATATACCGGTATGACGGTTTACCACGATTTGAACGTGCACGATTATCATACCATGAACAATTGCATATCAACGGTTTTAACCCTTAAAGACCGAGACAGCCGCCCGTGGCTAAAAATAAGTATTGCTCTTAAATGTTTAATAACTTTTGATCCGCTGATCCGATTCATACAATTCAAAGATTGGCATAAAGAAGAGAATCTCAGCTTTCCAGTGCTGTATCACATAACATTCACATAACATTCAGAGGCTCCGGAATCAGTGCGGTTACGTCATCAACATTTGACAACGCTGATTTGACAAAGAAACGCTCGTCACTGTGTCTCCGGACAAACCAGACATGATACATTGATGCATTGTCCCTCCTCCATGCCCAGATTGGTTCAAACTCGCTATATCACAACCAATAAGCATAGGTTTCGCTTTTGTTTGTGGACCAAGCTTTTTGAACAACACGGAATGAGAGACAGGCATACATTTATGCGCGGCTAAATAAAACGCAAAAAAAAAAAAGTTTTGCATGAAATAATTCTCATACTAAGTACTTTTGCATGCACAGCAGCACAGAAACATGACAAAACAGTGACACAGCAAAGACGAACTGCTGCTCTTGCTGTTTTCAAAAGACGCAAATGAAGATGCAGCGGTTTGTCTGCATTGCAGACAACCACATCCAAATCCACAGACAACCATATCCATGCTGGCACATAAAACCTAAGGATGTTCCATATTGAATCTAGTTTCGTTATGTAACTATTTATAGTATAGTAAATATTTATATTTATTTTTTACTGAGGATTTGCACCATGTTTATTTGGACTTTATTTGGACTTTGACACATTATTTATTATTTTCTTATTTTTATTTGTTCATTGTAAGTGGTGTTGTTTATAGTAACTAAAAATATATTATTTGGAAAAAGTCAAATTTGCTTCACTGTTCTATTATTTTGTAACATTTGTAACATACCGTATACCGCAAAACCGTCAAACCGTGGTATTGTTTTAGACGATTATCATACCGTGAAAAATTCATACCGTTACAACCCTAATGCAGATGATGGCTGTTATTAAGTGGCATTCACTCAGTTATGTCATTTTAAATGCAAAGATGACACTGTTTGTTATGACAAATTGACATAAATGCATCACAACCTTGTTAATGATGCTGTTATAAAATAATCTGACAGAGTAATGTGACATTTAATGACAAATCCACTGAAATAGTAATCATAAAAATATTAATAACACAATTATAATGCTTCATGACTGTCATGTTTATGACTGATTTATTTCAGTTTTGTTAACGTCAAGTAGTCATAACAAGGCTGTGATGCATTTATGTCAAGCTGTCATAACAAACAGTGTCATCTTTGCATTTAAAATGACATAACTGAGCGAATGACACTTAATAACAGCCGACATCTGCTGTTCATGATTATCAAGGTTTCATGACAGTCTTATAAACCCCCCTCAGGTAAAGTGTTGCCTAATAGAATACTAATGTCTTAATAATGTCTGTTAGTAAAAGAACAAATCTTGCTGAAAGCGCTCGCAGTCCACATGTGCAGGCGAACAGATCGAGTCCATATCAAGCTCCTGCCACGGCTTTAGCTGTCTCCTGTCAGAAACACAGTGTTTAGCAGAGTAAAGCATGCAGATCTGTTGGGTCAGAGCTGATGGAGAATACTGCAGGGACTTCACAAACACTGTACACTTAGAATCAGATCATGCTAGCGGTTAGAGCTAAAATGCCACCAGAGATTAAGGATGGCTCCTGTTTTCTCACGTGTGCTTAATTGTGGAGTTTTTAATTTTTTTAAAGGGACAGTTCACCCAAAAATCAGTCTGTCATCATCATTTACTTGTACTTCGAGTTTCTTTCTTCTGCTGAACACAAAGGAAGATATTCTGAGGAATGTTGTGAAGCTGTAACCACTGACTTCCAGTAGCATTTGCTTTTCCTTCTGTGGAAGTCTGTATGTAGGTTTCAGCTTTCTTCAAATTACAATACAAGACATATTTATAAGTGCTGTGCAAAAATTAATCACACCTATTAGCATCCAAAAGAAAAGTTTGTTTAGATATAATTTAAGTTACACAACACATGCATACATAAATACACACATGCATGCATATATTTGAGAAAATCTCTATGGGACCACTTTATAATAACTACACTCTATCAATCATTTATTAAGCATGAGCATCTAGTGAATTCATTATCTGTTAAGCATTAACTCTACATTAATAGATGTTAGTAAACAGTTCATAACTGCAGATACAAATGCTGTAATCTTGACTTATATAATGTGCTTAACTATTGTACTTTCAGACTTTGTGACAGGCTGATATGAAGTATTGCATTATTTACAAACCACTTGTATTTAAGAGTAGTTTAGGGGTTTTCAGATGATTAATAAACTATTGAAATTAACGTTTATATATGTTATTATTTAGGCATATAGTAATGGTTACTGCATATGTTAATAAGGCTTCATTAAGTCCACTTCCTCCAGTTTTGTGACCTAATCTTAAGTGAGGACTATTGATGCTTTATTAACCCCTTATAAATGACAATAAAGGCTCGAGATCAAATAAACAATAGTCTTTGCAGTTTTATCTAAAAAGCAAAATTACTGTAAAGTTTAAACATGAATAACAGGAGTGTCACGATACGACATAACACTGGATAAAACAACAACAATATAATAATTGAACAATATAATAGGATGCGATGTTTAAACTGTACAGTCATTTTATTTTAGATAAGGTTGCAAAGATTTATTTTTCATTTGATGCAGTTTTGTTTGTGTCTCTTCAAAGAAATAGAAATGAATATAGTTGTTTATTTAATTATTTTCCTGTTTAGAATGTAACTGAGCTTTTAATTGTCATTTATAAGGGATTTATAAAGCATTAATAGTTCTCGCTTTTGATTGGGTCACAAAACTGGATGAAGTTGAGTTAATAAAGCATTTATCAACATACAAATTAACTATTACTATATGTCAGATATATAAATGTTGATTTGAATAGTTTATTAATAATTTACTAACTCATTCTGAATGATCTTAAATAAAAAAAACAACCAACTATGCTTAATAAACCGGTTTGTAAATAGTGCAATACTTCATTTAATAATACAAAATAAATCATTAACAAAGTATGAAAGTACATTATTAAGCACATTATAAATGTGGCTATAAGTCAAGAATACAGCATTTGTAGCTGCATCTATGAACTGTTTTCTAACGTTAATGCTTCTCAGATAATGAATTCACTATTTGCTAATGCTTAATAAATGGTTCATAGTGTGTAGTTATTATAAAGTGTCTTTATTTATATTAAGATCTGAAATGTATGTGCATATTTATGTAACAAACTGTTTTGTATAGTTTTCTTTCTACACAGTACGTAATCTAAATCTATTAGTCCTGGCAGCGAATGTTTTTAGGTCATTGTAACTTATTAATCTACACTGAAAAAAATTATTCAAAGATGATTCCTTGGATTTACTCAATTTTTTTTACATTAAGTGGTTGTAAACTATTTATTTGGGCTGAATTTAAGCAAACAAATTAAGTTGAACATTACTCAACTTAATTTGTTTGTTTAAACTCGACACAAATAAATTGTTTGCAACAGTTCTGCATGCAACACTTTTTTACGTAAGCTGTTTACGTCTGTCAGTTTGACGCAACAATATTTTAATAGACTGATACGGTTAATTTGATTCAGTTTAAAATTGTTAGGCAACCAGGATTTCTTTTGCAGAGTGTGTATGTGTGTGTATCACAAGCACATAATCAATATATGTAATGTGCACACACACACATCTTATGTCAATATAAACTTATTTTATGGATGTGATTAATCTTCACTCAGCACTTTTCATTCACACTGCAAAAAATGCTTTCCTTGCTTAGATTTTTTGTCTTGTTTCTAGTCTAAATATCTAAAATTTCTTATATCAAGAAGCATTTTCTAGACAAGCAAAACATATGGTCTTGTTTTGAGAAAAAATATGCCAATATTAACCGAGTTTTTCCTTAAAACAAGCAAAATAATCTGGCAATGGGGTGAACAAATTAATCTTGTTTTTTCTTTTGATGTAATATTATTTTGCTTACGCCATTGGCAGATTATTTAGCTTTTTAATATTGGAAAAACTCTGTTAATATTGGCATATTTTTCTCAAAACAAGACCATATGTTTTGCTCAACCCGGGCTCATTGTGGAAACGTAGCCGGGAGGTACGTATTCGAGCATTTTTTGTTTTCGCGGATCCGCGAGAGGCAGCTGTGCGCGCTTTTTCGCATCTCGGGCGCCTCTTGGGAGCGCGCGTCGTTCTCGCGCGAAAAGCCGCCCTCCTATTCCTCCTCCTCCTTCCCTAAACCCGGGCGATGGTTTGCAAAAGCCGTCCAGAAAAAAAAACAAACAAAAAAAACAAAAGCCCTCGTCTTCGATTCCTACCGCGTTTTCGGATCCCGCCGCGTTCTCGCCCTTATTTTTCGGATTCCGTTTTTCATCTTACCTGATTTCTGAAATCGCTGTTCCCCGGACTCGATCCCGGTCGTCATCCCCGCGGCCGGCTCCTCCTCCGGGGCCTCCGCTCCGCCGATGCAACGCTGTGAGCTAAGCGGACAAACTGGTTGCTTTGGGAAAGCCCTCCACTCGGAGGCGAGCTGTCGGCCGGCGAGCGCGAAGAGGAGAATCGGAGCGGCGCCACACCGCCCCGCAGCGTTCGCTCGAAAAAAATTTAACGCGTCCGTACGTACCTCCGGCCTTGTAAATCGGGGTCTCCAGAAACGTCCGCGGGGCTACGTTTCCAGAATGAGCTTGGGTTGGTTTTGCTTGTCTTGAAAATGCTTCTTGATATAATAATGTTTAGATATTTGGACTAGAAACAAGACAAAAAATCTAAGCAAGGAAAGCATTTTTTTGCGGCGCATAAAGCACATTTAAAAACATAAAGCTAGAAAGCAGAGGATTTGAGTGTAGAAAATCACCTTTGTATCGTTCAACAGAAATAAAAAACTAGCTGGAAACACTTTAGTCCAGAGGTCTCAAACTCAATTCCTGGAGGGCCGCAGCTCTGCACCGTTTTGCCCAAACCCTAATCAAACACAGCTGATCTAGTAGTGTCTAGCAGTCTTAAACACCTGGATTAGTCGATCAGCTGTGTTTGATTAGGGTCGGAGCAACACTGTGCAGAGCTGCGGCCCTCCAGGAATCCAGTTTGAGACATAGGCTTTAGACAGACGGTCCATTAGTTCACGGTATTTACTAACATTAAGTATGAATAACTTGTGCAGCATTAATTAATCGTAGTTCAGCATTAACTAATGCATTATTAAGATCCACACTTGTGCTTGTTGACTGAGTGAACATGAACTGACGTAATTAAACTGAAATAGCATTATCACAGATGAATAAGTACTATAATCAATGTATTCCTAATAGACTGTTGATGTTAGTAAATACGTTGACTAATAGACTAATGTAAAGTGTGATTATCGGCCGATCTCCGACTGATCAATCAGAGCATTGCTAGTGTATAGTAAGCGAATGTCAGTGTTTGCGTGAACTACCCCTTTATTATGGACTGTTGATGTTATAATACTGTGTTAGTGAAGCTAAACCTCAGTCCCGAACTTCTCCATCTGGAAGATGAGTTCAACAGCGGCGTCCACGTCCTGCACGATTTTCTCAGGCTCCACCAGCGCGGGGTCGAAGCGGAAATCTCGGTGTCCGTGGAAAACCGTCTCCTTGATGCACTGGCTGGCGTCTCTGGGCAGCTCCATGTGCGGGTTGTAGACTCCTGTGCACACCAGGATGGACTTGCAGGACGTGGCGGAGGGCGACGCTAGCTCACTCTCCCAGCCGTTCCCCGTCTCCACCTCCTCCGGGACACTGGCGGGCGCTCCGGTGCCCGTCACCATGTTGGCCACTGCTTTGGTGGACGTCCGGGACACGCGGTCCTCGAGGTAGCGGTTGTAGAGGTTTGCTCCGTAAATATCAGTCATCAAGTTGTCTCTGACAGCAGATTGCAGGAGTTAATGTGTTAGAAAATAAGAGAAGCAGACGATCATTTATGAGTCAAGTGTGTGTGTGTGTGTGTGTCTCACCCGATGGCATACAGTGATCTGATTGGTGCTCTCCAGCCTCTCTCCACAGCCTGTTCTCTGATCAGGAACTCAGCGAAGTGATAGGTCAGTTCACTGGGTTTCCCCATCAACGCCTCGTACTTCAGCTCTTTCCCAGTGATCTTCTTATAGATGCTCTCCAGACACACCATGAAGGTGCCGTGACCGAACCTGCAGACGGGAAGCTTCAGTCATTCACTGGCTGTCCATCTCACATCAACAAAGGCTCATGAGGCTTTAAAAACCAAAGTAAACACTTGAGTGTGCGCCATGCAGGTGAGCAGGCTCGACAAACCACCTGTAGGACACACTCCTCCTGTCCCAATACACCAGACACTGTTAGAAACACTTCATATGTCTGTTTCTATGACTTCTATCTTCATTTATAGCACCTCCTCTTCACATTGACATCAATATATCTTGTTGAACAGTATCTCGGGTCATTATTTGCTCTCTATTTCCTGGGGATGCAGATTGTGCAGCGCCATTAATGAGACCCAAGAACTGTGCTGAGATGATGCCAACCATCGAGGACTTCCAGGACAACACACACACTTAATACACAAATACAGACATCACCTATATGCTAGATAGCTGCAGGTGAACTATCACTGCGCCCCAAACGGCACACTATACACGATGCTCTTATGCACCGACACACTCAACAGCACGGTATATGAATGTAGTGTCGTCCTAATTGACACATTAATGGTTTATTACTAACTGCAAGTAAGCGATGTGTGATGCAACTTGTGTTTATGTAAAATAACTTTAACTGTTAAAGCTATTAGTTTCTAGTTAATTAGCTTGAGCTATTAGTAGGCCCACATGAAATCTGCTCATGCAGAAACGTGCAGATTTTCAGCCCATAAAGTCCATTTATTTACATTAAATCTATTTATTTACTTGTGTAAATTTATATTTATTCAGTTTATAATTAATTTCAGTAATATTGTTAATATAAAAATGTTCAAATTATTTATTTGCAGGCGGCGCAGTAGGTAGTGCTTCCGCCTTAAAGCAATAAGGTCGCTGGTTCGAGTCTCGGCTGGGTCAGTTGGTGTTTCTGTGTGGAGTTTGCATGTTCTCCCTGCGTTCGCGTGGGTTTCCTCCGGGTGCTCCGGTTTCCCCCACAGTCCAAACACATGCGCTACAGGTGAACTGGGTAGGCTAAATTGTCCGTAGTGTACGAGTGTGAATGAGTGTGTATGGATGTTTCCCAGACATGGGTTGTGGCTAGAAGAGCATCCTTCAAAACGTGCTGGATAAGTTAGCGGTTCATTCTGCAGTGGCGACCCCAGATTAAAAAGGACTAAGCCGAAATGAAAATGAATGAATGATTTATTTACAATACAGTTTGTAAAGTAGTTATTTCTGTCTGTAATGTAATAATTCAGTTGATCTATTATGAGACACTTGTTTTGTTTACCATTTAAGTGGATCTAATTGGATTTTCTTTGTAAACATTAAATAAAAGTTAAAAATGTATGATTTGTTTATTTCATATATTAAGTTTTTAGTTATGATACTCCCAAAATCATTCTGCATAAATTTGCTGATTTTTTTTTACTAAATTCTGTGCAGAAATAGCAAAAATGACCTGCAGATTCTGTCTGGCCCCAGTTATTAGTAACTCATTTTATCTAATAACCTTAACTTATCTAAATTTGATTGTAATGCAGACCTTTGAAATGCTTTGTAATGTAATGTGTGTGTTTATTGAGTATAGTCATACACTCAAAGTGCTTCACAATCATAAAGGGGGTCTCTCCACACCACCACCAGTGTGCAGCTCCACCCCCTGCCGGCCTCTCGAAAACCACTTTCAACAGCAACCTAGGTGTTCCCATGTGGTCTCCGATGCAGGAACTGACCAGGCTCAGCCCTGCTTAGCTTTATTGAGGAACCGGTCTTGGGCTGCAGAATGATATGACGTGCATATAACAATGATTATTGTGGAAAGCGCTATACAAATAAACTTAAATTGAGAGTACACAGTTAAAAGTCATTAGTTGACTTAAAAAAGTGAAAAAACTCATTGCCTTATAATTATTAGGTAAACAATCTATGTGCATAATTGTAAAAGTTAAGTTGATGGGTTAACTGACTTTTTAAAGTAAAGTCAACGCGTTTACTCACTGTTTTAAAATAAAGTAACTAATCACTTTTTTAATCACTCATTAATTTACTTTCCTTCGGCTTACTCTCTGATTTATCAGGGGTCTCCACAGCGGAATGAACCACCAACTATTCCAGCATATGTTTTACACAGCAGATGCCTTTCCAGCCGCAACCCAGTACTGGGAAACACCCATACACTCTCATTCACACACCCATTCACTATGGGGAAATTAGTTCATCAATTCCTCTATAGCACATGTGTTTGGACTGTGTGGGAAACCGGAGCACCCGGAGGAAACCCATGCAAACACGGGGAGAACATGCAAACTCTACACAGTAACGTCAACTGATCCAGCTGGGACTCAAACCGGCGACCTTTTTGCTAACCGCTGAGCTGCCTCAAATCGTTTTTTACAGTGTAAAATAGTGAGGAACCTCCCCGGTCTCCAGTGATCAGTAAGCGTTTGTAGGTGTTCACCTGGGGGAATGAGCCTCTGCCATCCACATCAGGTCCATGTTGCAGGCCAGGAGAGGCAGATGTGTGGAGTGAGCCGTTTCATAAGCGCTGCTCAGATTCCCATTGGTCAGAAGCACATCCACGATCAGCTGCAGGTTTGTTTCCCACCGGATGGGCTCCCCGAACAGAACTACAGCTAAAGCACACGACACAGAGAGCCAGAATCAAATCTAAGTTTCTATTTTTAAAATAAAACCTTCAGTAATAAAAAAAACAGGTTAAGTATTTTGTGAATCACACGGTCTTTTCTGTTTATTTACGGTTGTGAATTGCATTATGGGATGTTGATCTCTGCTCTGGCCACTTCTGATGGTGTAAGTTTAACTCTATAGTTTAACAAAGTGACTTTTACTGATATTTTAGCAGCATTTTGAGATAAGATATTGTTTAGGAAGTAATATAGAGAGAATTAAGTCAAATAACAGAAAATGTGATGCAGTTTATTACCAGGTTGGTTATCACAGCGTTATATACACCAAAATACCAACACAGACAATATAGCAGAGCAGACTATTAAAAAAAGTCACTTTAAAAAGTTTTAAACACTTTAAAAACTTTTTTAAAAGTCAAACTTTTCAAAATCAAAACCTTTTAAAGGAAAGATCAATATCCCATAATACAATTTAAAAGCAGAAAAAAGTAGAAAAACATGAATCACAATATACAGAAAACAGCAAAATTACAGATATATTTTTACACTGTAATTATTTAATTGCACTATTCTTTATTCTTTGAATTCTTTCTTGATGTAGTCTCCAACTTAAGTCATATCCATTACATAAACACTGCCGATAATATGTGTGGGGTCAGGATGATTAGTTGATGTATTTACTAACACGAAGTAACTATGAACAATTCTCAACATTTAATTAATCGTAATAATTCAAAATTTATCGATGCATTATCAACATCCAAATTCATATTCAAAGCAGAATAGCTGAATTCAGCACTGTTTTTCAGATAAACCTGTACAGTTGAATTATTCGCCCCCCTGTTTATGATTTTCCCCAATTTCTCTTTAACGAAAAGATTTTTTAACACATTTCTAATCATAATAGTTTTAATAACTCATTTCTAATAACGAGTTATTTTCTCTTTGCCATGATGACAGTAAATAATATTAGACTAGATATTCTTCAAGACACTAGTATTCAGCTTAAAGTGACATTTAAGGGCTTAACTAGGGTAACTAGGCAGGTTAGGGTAATTAGACAAGTTATTGTATAACGATGGTTTGTTCTGGAGACTATCGAAAAATATAGCTTAAAGGGGCTAATAATACTGACCTTAAAATGGTGTTTAAAAAATTAAAAACAGTTTTTATTCTAGCCGAAATAAAACAAATAAGACTTTCTCCAGGAGAACAAATATTATCAGACACACTGTGAACATTTCCTCAATCTGCTCAACATCATTTGGGAAATATTTAAAAAAGAAGAAAAATCTAAGGGGGGCGAATAATTCTGACTTCAGCTGTATGTTCACTAGGCATGTTTCTTAATTATCTGCAAACATATTTCTATGATTTGGAAGAGTGTTGCACACAGCACGTTTAACACTAATCAATTAGGAGATGATGAATGTGAGGATGACAGTGGAGCTGTAAATCCCACAGTAACATGCAGTTGTGTGCTGAAGTGTCTTACCTTCCACTCTGGGCAGGTTCGCCACAGGAGAAGACTGAAACAACAAGCAAAGTGTCTGGTTTCTTTCAGATCTGACAATCTATTTCATCTGAGACTTCTCAGAGACAATTCCAGCAATTCAACAGGTCTTTTTTTTCACTTGAGCTAAGAATTTTTAGATATTTGTACAAGAAATGAGACAAACAAAGTAAGAAAAGCATTTTTTTCTATTGTGTTTATTCCATTTTTGGATCTGAATACTGTTAGACTCCCCAGAAAATCATCAAATGATGCTATTCATATCGCAGAAAAATAAAATATCGCAATATCAGTTTTTTTTCCAATACTGTGCAGCCTTAATCAACATGATGACTGCAGGAGGAGGATGAAGACCACATCTCCCATGATTCCACACTCCGCAAGAGAGTCATCAAACTGCACCTTTGTTTATTGTGAACAGACGCCCTCTAGTGGACAAAATCACACAGTGTGCCTTTAAAGTAGATTTTCACATGCATGAAAATGGGACAGGAGAACTGAATCTGCTGCTATTTTTGTCTTCTGAATAACCTCTTCATCATTGCCGATGGCTGCTCTCTTCTAATGACATTTATGTTCCACCTGTGCTAATCTGACCTGACGGTGTCCTCTGTTTAAAAGTGCAGGCTCTCTACAAAATAAAGACTAAACTGCACATAATCCATGAACTAAAGCAGTGTAGTTATAAGCGTATCATAAGAAAGATACATTAAAGAGATAGTTCACCTAAAAATGAAAGTCATCATTTCCTCACACTCAGGCTACTGTGAGTTTCTTATGTTCTTATATCAAAGTCAATGGCTGTTTTTTGGAAAATACTTAAAAATAATTCTTTAATTTTAATCCAACAGAAGAAAGAAATGTAAACATGTTAGGAACAAATGAGGAAATGATGCTTTTTTTTGAAGCGCTGATTCAAAACAAACTTAAGTGTGTGAAAATGCATTGGTAGTCGAGTTATTAAAAACATAATGACTAACTTCTTACCTTGACTAATCATAATGACTTTTTAGTTAATAATGATAAAGATAATAATAAGTGAAAATGACTAATATTAAAAAAATTATAATAAATAAAGTAATAATAATACACGGGTCACGCACCGGTAGTTTGGGTCTCCTGTTGTGGTCCACCATGTCCAGCAGAGGGAAAGACTCACGCAGCATATCGATGCTAACCACGTTTGTGAAGCCCACGCTGATTTACTGCGTTAAGAATTCATCTGTCTCGTGGATTAATCTAAAAGTGATTATCACTGTTGATCACAAACACAAACAAGAGATTGGGGGAGAGATTGTGATAATCCTATTCCTCTCTGAATCCTCTCGCATCATAATACTGTCCGATCCAATGCCTTGACGGAGGTGCTGCAAAGGCCAAACAATACTGTCATAATCCCTCAGAGGAGGGCGCATTCACATCCAAATCCTGCAGCAATCTTTTAAACTTTACGTAGATTACAAGAGTGTTTACAGTGAGCTGTTTACATTAATCTCAAGTGCAAGTATATTTGATAATAGTGCAAGTACTGATGAAATCAAACCAACCATGTTGATTTTGTTAGCTCACATTGCTAGTTTTGAGGTAAACAGTTCATCTGTGCATGTCATTAGGACAAAAAACAATGGTTTGCTCTTGTCATTGAAATCTGCAAATGCACTTCCTGTTTGTTTTCAGTTCAATTTTCAGATTAGATCTGTCTGAGGTATTGGGCGGGGCTAACACACATAACCACGCCCCTCCAGCTGTACCAGTAATGGTACAGTAATGGTGAGCAGGAGTTAGGTTGTAATAACTCTCCCCCATGCTTCTGAATGAAACGCCTACTATACTACATCCAATCAGCTCACAGTAGAAAAAACAAGCCACGCCCACTATTTTTGCTTTTAATATTCCATCTCTCTAAAAACTGCATCTCAATAGAAAAATAAAAGGGGGTTTCTGATTCATGTGAACTTTAAGAGCTAGTCTAGAGCGCCATCTTGTGTTAAAACTAGCCCGGAGCACTGTCTGCTGTTAAACACAAGCCTTGAGAAGGCAGAAGCTGAAGACACTGAAGGATACTTTTTGGCGATGTCGAGCACAGGACCTTGTCCAGACACCAGCACAAACTTGTCATGATATTTCTTGAACATCCTTAAAGGGCTGTGAGACATCATGACCTGGTCTTGAGAGATCTGAAACCAAGCAAACAGATTATCATCCATGAAAATCGTACTGGTTGATGCACGTGACAAAATTGGTCAAGATCAGGTCTGCTCTGGTGTGTTTGGTATAACACTTAAATATACCGTGTATATAATATCATATATAATTTTAACTTATCTTAAAATCATTAAATTATCCAAAATAATATAAATATAAAATTACAATTTGTCTTAATTTAACAAATTAGCATACAAAAATTAATTAAGGCCTTTAAATGGAATAAAAAAAATAAAAACTAATGTATCCAGGGCCATAAAATACTATTTATAACTTTTATAACTATAACATTTATAATTATATAACTTTTATAACTATAAAAATGCTATTATAGCATATTTTTTAAAATTAATAATTAAACTGTATTTATTTCACAATTTCACTTAATTATACATACTTTTTGTTTACTGAAGCATTAAAAGAAGCCATAAATAAATAAATAAATAAATAAATAAATAAAGAGATCGATAAAAATGTGCACAAACAAAAAGTTTTTAAAAATATATCAAAATTAAACAGACTAGCCAGGTCATGTTTTCCCCACTGAATGTGGAAAAGTACAGTGCATTTCCAGGGCACAAAAAGCTGATGAGTTTCACAAAGCTTTCGATCTCTCATCATTTAATGCAAAAGCTGAAAGAGACTCACAGGAACACCCAGTATGTGTGACAGCTGATCAGCCTTCTTCTGTCGTAAGCAGTTTCCAGCATTTGTGACAAAGACGACTGGGACCAAGAACTGGCCCTTGGTGTCCACCAGCTTCTGAAAAGCTCTCTTTGCGGCCGGGATGGGGGTCTTTCCTCGAACCAACACTCCATCGATGTCAAACAGCAACCCGAAGCTCGGATCCGACTGTTCAACAGATCACAACACAAAGAGTTATTACTATTATTATTATTATTATTACAACACAGGAGTAATTATTCAATGGCCAGAGAAGATAAAGCACACATCAGTGCTACCTTTACTTACTGTAAATTCTGAAGTTTGCTTTAAGTAAGTCTGTTTTCTGCTCTAACTGTAACAGATTCTCTAATTTATTATTACATGTAAATAAGTATTTGCAGTATTCATCTGCATTAGTGTAACACATTTAGGTGTGAAAGATTACATCAATGTAATTTAACCAAAACACAAAACAATTTTCTTGTGAACGCTTAACCCAAATAACCACATGTGAATACAAAATCACTACTGCACTGACAAACATAGTCAGTCATGACAGCAAATGTTTATATGTTGCTGTAACTTACTTTAATTAGTTAATAAGGTTTCAACAAATTTTACAAGTTATTCAAAGTTTAGCTTAATATTTTAGTCAGTTTACTGATGTGAACTGAGATGACTGGAAAAGTTAATTTGATTCAACTCAAAAATTGAAAGCAGCAAGAATATTGTTTTTACACTGTAATGTTTGTGTTAAAAGTGTTTGTGTTGTAAGTGGTTTGTGTGACATATATATTAAAGATATAATATAATAATTCATAAAAATATAACCTCCTATAGCTGGAAAACAGTTTTTTATGTGATTGTGAAGGACTGCATTTTTTGTCTTTTTTTTGCCAGGAGAAAAAAAGCAGTGAAGAAAGCTCTGCTTCTGTCATAAAGGTCTGATTTAATTTTAGAAGTTACAGTCTGCATCATGAATCAAAATTTAGATTAAAACTGTAACTATCAATCTCCAAAAATACTGGCATCTTATGTCATTTTAATAATGGTTTCTCTCAAGGTTTTTTGGTTTTTCTCCAGTTTTTTCCCCTTGACTTTCGCAAATTAATGAAGTACGTTCCTCGCCGCTGTCGCCACTTTCTTGCATGGTTCGGGACTTGTGGAGCAAGTGTATTTCTATAGAAATAAAGATTAATTGAATAAAAATTTAACTTAAAATGAGTTGCAAGTCATTGCCATTTTTGATATCTGCAAATACATATTCTCCAAAATAACATTTAGTTATAAATAATATCGTTATAATGACATTATCAATACATTTTTAAACATAATTTTGGAGCATGAGTTCTCCATCATGGCACTTGGTGAAAAAATATCACAAGAGCCCTTTAATAATTATCTTTGGGGTGGATTAAAATGATCATTTAAATCCTGTGTTTAGAAGGATAGGCCTTATTTCTTATTTATCCAAGAAATGTATCTTACTGAACCGGAAAAAAAGAGTATCCTTCAACACTTTAAGCATGCATATATTAAATGAGGCATTGCATATGGAATATTTAACAGTTTGGAAAATGAAATATATGGAATATCTCACAGTTTAAAAACAAATCTTAGAATATCTTGGAGATCTGAATTTTTTACCAGACCTATTGTAAACCCTTTGACCCATTTCTGCACCCTTTACTAACCATTTATAAGCTGTTTATTTATGCATAAATGCATTTTGTATTATTATTCCTGGGGTCAAATATAGTCCTTGAATAAATGTATAATAAATTATAAGTATAATTAAGCTAATTGAATGAAAACACATTTATTTATAGGTTAAAGACAAAGTTTTTAGCCTTCCGTTTAGATATTTCCACAGTGCTGTTGTTTAACAGATCATGGACATTTTCAATACAATCTGGATCTGTTGATGTGATGATTTGTTGTTATTATAAACTGATAAATAAATAACACAAAATAAAGAAATGAATGTTACTAAAAGATGTTTTCCGTCATGCAGTACAGAAATAAACAGCATTGACATTATCCAGCTGGACTACAGGATGCCGTGAACACAATGCATGACCTTTTTTCCCAGATTTTCTTTGCCAGGAAAGATTAGATTTCACGCACAACAGAAGATGCTGCTGCGTCACTCTTGACCCACACTGGACATTTGTCCCTTGTTTGTTCTGTTTGCGTATACACTTGAGGATTACAGCCGCTGTGCTCAAATAAATCAGCTGCATGCTTAAAACCCTTTCATGTGTTTTTTTAGAAAAAGAAAATAATATATGAGATACTGATGAGATAATAGAAGATATGCAGGTGAAAAATGGTGGACATGTTATATAACCGGAAGCCCTACCTACCAATCAATCAATCAGTCTGTCTGTCTGCTTTTATGTTTTTATTTATGTTATTGAGTTATTGTTATTCTATTTAATATACTTTTACTGTATAGTTGGTTTGTGTATGTGAATATTTGTGTCTATCTGGATACCCGTGTATATGTACAGTATATTGTTTTTTTAATTTGTTTCAATTTTCTTTGTAATCTGTTGCCTCCTGCACATGAATGTTTGAGAACATATATGCTGTACATTTGTGTGTTTAGTTGTTTTTGTTATAAAGAGTTAAAAGCAATAAAATAAAATAAATAAATCAGCTGCACTGTGAGTTTCTGTCTATAAAAACCACTAATGGCAAACGTTCACCAGCGTTCTGAAAGCACTACAGCTACATTATTATATATTAGCAGAAATAACAACAATAACCTCTGTTAGGTTCATCAGACGTTTCTCTTTTTACTGAAGTGAGATGAAGACATTAGGGAAGAGGTTCAGTTTCACTGTCGTCATTCAGCAATTTGCTGATAAACCGACTGCAGGGTATTGACCTTATTCTGGGATGCAGAAGTGCGCTCGTTTTTGCTCATTTTAAAACTTCCAGATCAGTTGGGAGAAATGACTAGGAATAATATAATGGACAAACTACTTGCTCCTCAAACATCTTTGTTCATGACTATACATAAAAAGAAGAGCAATATAATATGAAAAGGTCAGTTTTCAACATCAAGCAGCAGTACAAGCTGTTTTCAGCATCTAGAAATCAATGGAAGTGAATGAAGGTGGAAGTCTGGAGCCAGAAATATTCCAATAGCTGCGCCCACTCGTACATGAAGAATAAGCTCAATAAGCAGAAATACATTCTCAGACCTTTTATAAGACGCTTTCCATACATTTGAACTTACTATATTCATTAAATAATAATTGTAAGAAACTAATCATAAACTAAAACATTATTTTACTGAATAAAAATGCTAATCCAGCAGGAGACGTCTATAAATCAGCAGGAATAACTGTTTTCTGCAGTGAAAAAAGCAGCATGATGTCAAATCTAGCAGGATTTTATTGATTTCATAAGCTAACAGCATTCTGATATTCACAGATTTCATTCAGGCAAACTTTAGCATACAACTGCACGTTGTATAATCAAGAATGTAATGCCTTGTAAAATAGCATTTTAAGCGCAACCTAAATCCTTTTTTGGCCTCTGACTGAATTTTTTATACGATTTTTATTCATTTTCAATTTTTGAAAATGTGCAAATTAATAATAAAATCGAGCAGTGCTATTGACTAATTAATCATTTCTCTTTGCCATGATGACAGCACATAATATTTGACTAGTTATTTTTCAAGATGTGTTTAGCTTAAAGTGACATTTAAACTTAACTACCCTGTGAAAAAAATATCAGTAATTTAGCAGTTTTCTGTATTTCCATGCCTTTATTTTTCCTTGTTTTTGTATGCTTTTGAATTGATTATGAGAGTATTGGAACAACTTAAAAAGTAACTTTTATAAACATTTTAATAGTTTACCTATTGCCCTGTTATTTTACAAACTTATTTGCCTTTATATTATTTCTTATAATTATTTCAAACAACTACAATGTCAGTAAAAGTCACTTTGTTAAATTGTAGAGTTGAATTTTCAACATTAGAAGAGAACAGAGCAGAGATCAACATCCCATAATGCAGTTCACACCCACAAATAAACAGAATCACAAAATACCTGTTCATTAACAGATATTATTTACAGTGTATGGTACATCTCTAACACAAAAGCTTAACTGACATGTGAATCTAACCCACCTGTCCTTAACCTTCACAATAATTGAATCAGATTGTTACCATTGTGTTAGCTCACATTCTTGAGTTCTGTCCAAGTTAATGAATATAAAACTGTTTTTCTCTGGTCTCTTCAATCTGATTCTGCTTCTGCCGTTTCTTCACTGATAACGTCAATTTATTGGACTGAACAGAATGTGCTTGAACACTGCTTTTTAAATGCTACTTTATTGTTAGAGAAGCAACGCACCCTACACCCTACACCCTACACCCAGCCCTCTATTCAATATTCAGTTTCAGCTGAAATACACAGGCACGATACTCAATCCTTAACTTTAACCAACCCACAAACCAGTCTACACCACTTAACCAGTTCCTAAAGTGTATCCCTCATCAGTAGCAGCAGAAGTAAATGTCCCTCATGACAAATATTATACTGTCTATACTGTATATATGTTATACGGTCGGGGAACAATGACAGGGGGTCCCATGGAGATGTCAAAAAGTCAAATAAACTTCATTTAACCATTAGATTTACCCTATTTATCTGTAACCCACAGAAGATTAAAAACAGTTATTAGTTACCTAAAAAACAACAATAGCATTCAAATGAAAAGCCATCAGCCTTTCAACTTTTCCTTTATAGGATTGGTGTGTTTACGTTAGATTAACAACACAGCAATAGCGTCAGCTGCAGGAGATTGATTTTATAGCACCAGGCTAAACTTTCTGGCACCTTTATGGCAATTAAATAATAATTTTCGGCTTAGCTCCTTTATTAATCTGGGGTTGCCACAGCGGAATGGACCGCCAACTATTCCAGCATATGTTTTAATTACAGGCCACAACTGAATATTGAGAATTATCTCTAATCTCTAGTTTCTTTAGGTGAGGTTAATATTAAATTAACTAAATGGCGATAAAAATGATGTGGTTTTTAGACTGTTGCACTTTATTTGTGTTGTCAATGTGCTCATATTGTTGTCTGCGCAACGTTTGTATATTGATAACCACCTCCAAGAAATGTGGGGGTCACAAGTCACTGGCATTGTTATTTTGGGGGTTTGAGAAGTTTGAGAACCACTGCTGTGTACTACTTACAACCCTTTGTTAATGAATGCTTCAGCATACTGTAGTATAGATAAACTGTTATAAATACAGTATAGCATAATTTAGTTTTGGCGAGGCAGTGGCGCAGTAGGTAGTGCTGTCGCCTCACAGCAAGAAGGTCGCTGGTTCGAACCTCGGCTCAGTTGGTGTTTCTGTGTGGAGTTTGTGGAGCGTGGGTTTCCTCCGGGTGCTCTGTTTTCCCCCACAGTCCAAAGAAAAGGTGAATTGGGTTGGCTAAATTGTCCGTAGTGTGTGTGTGGATGTTTCCCAGAGATGGGTTGCGGCTGGAAGGGCATCCACTGTGTAAAAACTTGCTGGATAAGTTGGCGGTTCATTCCGCTGTGGCAACCCCGGATTAATAAAGGGACTAAGCCCACAAGAAAATGAATGAATGAATAATTTAGTTTTTAATACAGTAAGCATTAGTTAATATAGTATAATATATAGAGTACTACAGTACAGGGTCATTTGTTTACATTACTATGGTTGTTGTATAAACATGGCAACTATAAACGTAAAGTACTTTACTATAGTATGGTTCAAAAACACAATATTTTTATTGCGACACAATAAAAGTAAAATAATCACCTAAAAAAGGACCTAAATATTAATATTTTTGGTGTATGTACAAATTAGTTAACTACATGGCATAAAATAAAACCTTCTGTTTAAAAAAAATACTGTTTCACTTAAAAAAATTCTGTCTTTTTATTAATTCATTTTTAAAAGTGCTTCTATGGATTTTATCCATGTTTTAGCCTTCCTTATTGTGCGTATCCTTTGTAACTAGCTTAAACTAACTTTTTATAGTTAATATTTATTTTGTTTCACACAATCTAACTTTGCAGGGGTTCAGATATTAACATGTTTTAGCTGGCGATTAAAATAACTCTTCTAGTCAAAACAGAATCATGAATGTATTCTTAAAAAACAACATCATAACAGATCATGTGTAAACATGTTTGATAAGTACTGCTGCTGCTCACAATAACAAAATCAGCAGTACCTGCACTGTAGTTACACTGTAATAACATCAACACACAAGAAATGACAGGACTAATGCTAAAATGTCATACAAGATCAATGTCAGGACAGTCATGACACTGATCAACACCTCCAGAGAAAGACTCACGGATCGAGCAGGTATTGATCAGGGTCACAGCTGGCCAGGCATTTATCACACTTTACTATTTACATTTATCGGGCTGTGACAAAATTTGTGTTCAGGATATACACATCCAAAGCTTGAAGCAGCAGCTGTGACACTGATCAATACCCCCAGAGAAAGACAAAACCCCCAGTAAACAGCAGACATTCGCATTCACTCAAGCGAAACAAACGGAAAATGAAAGCGCCGGTCGGTCATGTATTGTTAATTAGGAAACAATTTTGACAGATCATCATCATATCTCTGTGTAAACATGTTAGTTTAGTGTGTTTGATATGTGACATTACTGCTGTTGCTCGGAATAACGCAATGGATAGTAACGTGATCAACATTGTAGTTACACTATAATAACATCAACACAAGAACTGACAGGACTAACGCTAAAATATCTTACATGTCAGGCCAGCTGTGACACTGATCAATACCCCCAGAGAAAGACAAAACCCACAATAAACAGCGAGACTAACTGCAGACATTCACATTCACTCAAGCGAAACTGGAGGAAAATGAAAGCGCCAGATCACCTATGAGGAAAACCAGAAGGAAACGGAAACACTGCAAACGGGCACCGAATAATGATTTTTAACCCGTGAAAGCAACGATCTCCGCACAACTGATCGACAAACATCACATTCTGCGGTACATGGAGGACTAAAACCGCATCTGCAGCGTTATATGAAGGAATGGAGCGTCACCTCAGAGCAGAGCCCGCGCCGCACACACCGCCAGCCGCCGCTGCTCGATGCCCGCCTCAGCAGCGCGTTCATCGCCCTCATTTCGACACGACGCTTCCCGATCCGCTTTCGACCGGCTCCCGTTTCTCCATACGGCTTTTGTAGCGGTGCAATGTGACGACAGAGAGGAGGAGGTCCGAATCCACCGAAAGACTCGCGTCAGGGAACAAACAATATCGCCGGCAAACGGAGGACTGAGATCTGCGACTCCAACAAACAACCGCCGATTCCGCACTGCGAGCGACGCGAAATAATCACGCGACGCGACGAAAGAACCTACGGCGTGAGTGACGTCACCGGTTTGTTTGTTTATTTTACTTTTGCAAAGTGAGCACCACAAAACAGGCAACAATTAACATTGTAAGGAGCATTCATACTTTCAAATAAATACGAGTTTTGAATCGCATCCAAAATAAAGATATTTGTCTTAAATCAGAATTATTAGCCATATAAGGGGCTAATAATTCAGTAAGGCTAAAAATAAATATATTTTTATATTTAAATATAACTACACTACATTTATATATAAATTTGCCCAATTTTTGCAACTCATCTCTAAACATAATACTTTTAATAACTCATTTTTTTTTATTTATGTTCTCTTTGTCACGATGACAGCACATGTTATTAGATCGGATATTCTTCAAGACACTAGTGTTCAGCTTAAAGTGACATGTAAAGGCTTCACTAGGGTAATTAGGGTAAAGTTAGGGTAATTAGGCAAGTCATTGTATAACAGTGGTTTGTTTTGGAGACAATTGAACACTAATATTGCTGAAGAAGCGAATAATATTGTGCTTAAAATGGGTTTATAAACAATTAAAAACTGCTTTCATTCTAGCCGAAATAAAAAAAAATGTAAGTACTTTGAACAAAACAAGGATTAAGGATCAATACAAAAGTTACACAAGCGCATCAAACGTGTACTTATGTTTCATGTTCGGCTTTCTGTACTTTATTCATTCATTCGCTTATTACTTTTTTAAATTTAGGTCTGATTAGTTTAAGTTTATGGTTTAAGACCTTTTGGGAAATATATTTTAACTATGCACATATTACAGTAAAGTGCTGCTTTTAGATGTAATTTTTATTAGTATCTTTATTTTTATGACCATTTTTTATTGTAACCTTTAAATATACAAAGATTATATATATATATATATATATATATATATATATTGAGAGGGTGAAATTTCTTAATATATATATATATATACAGTTAAGGTCAGAATTATTAGCCATTGTTTATTTTTTATTGTCTTATTTATTAGATTTATTTTCTCTGTCATGACAGCACATAATATTAGACTAGACATTCTTAAAGACACTTCTATACAGCTTAAAGTGACATTTAAAGGCTTCACTAGGGTAATTAGGGTAATTACACAGGTTAGGGTAATTAGGCAAGTTATTGTATTACGATGGTTTGTTTTGTAGACTATCGAAAAATTATAGCTTAAAGGGGCTAATAATATTGACTTTATATTGCTTATTGAATTAAAAACTGCTTTTATTCTAGCCGAAATAAAACAAATAAGACTTTCTCCAGAAAAACAAATATTATCAGACACACTGTGAACATTTCCTGAATCTGTTCAACATCATTTAGGAAATATTTAAAATAGAAAACAAAGAGGGGGTTAATAATTCTGACTTCAGCTGTATATATAGCTCCAAATATTGATACCCATGGCAAAATCTGAATTTAAAATACTTTAATTCAAGGTTTTTTTAACCTATAATGACCCAGGCTTCTCCCTAAAGATAATAAGATGATTTACCAGCAGCATCACAGAGGAAAAATATAATTCTCTGCTTTTATTTACATTTGAACAGAAACTTTGTCAGACTCTGCCAGTGAGATGAGGGCATCTCTTAAAGTAATATAAATTCCAGTGATATAATTCAGAAAACTCTCTGCTGCATCGGTCTGCATTATACTGCAGGCGTTTGCGCTGAACAGGAATATTAGATTTCCTCCTGATGCTGTAAACGTGACTGTGGTTTATTTCCGTCAGGCTGGTCACATGCAACAAACCGTCCCTCATCACTGGCTTGTTTAAACCTTTGAGCAGCGTGCAAATATTCCCAATACATTCGCAAAGGAAGCAGATAAGAACAGAGAAATGGTTTGGTAAAAAAAGCATTTTTACTTGTCCAAAAGTGAAAATAGTGTACAAAATATTTACAGATGTTTACTTTTGACGGTTGAACAAATAAAGATTTCTTAATTTTCAACAACAAAAACAACTACAAGTCATCCAGTTTCAAATGCAACGCACAATTCAGCATGATCAGCATGAGACAGGTACTGTGACAGTACAGCCCATAACACTGACTGAAACACGAGGGATCTAATCAGACACTAAAACCATCAATACACTTTCTGCATTTTGTGCTTCATGTTTTTAATATTCCCCCATATATATTATTAATGTTTTTGAGTTGCATTATGGGATCTTGATCTTCCCTCCAACAACTCTCAACCTGTAAAAGTGTGTGTTCTGCACGTGTCCAGTGTGTGTGTGTGTTGGTGTTGTATATTACGCTACAGAAGCCTTGCATTAAACTGCAGAACATTTTCTGTTATTTCTTATTTCTCTAGATATTAATTCTTATACATTATATTATTTTAAATGACAAAAAAATCAGTAAAAGTCACTTTGTTAAACTGTAGAGTTGAATTATCAACATCACAAGAGGACAGCGCAGAGATCAACATCCCATAATGCAGTTCACCACCACAAACAAACACAAAATACAGAAACAGTTCATTAACAGACAGATCTGACGGTGTGTTTGAGGCAGATACTGACACACACACACATTTATAGGATCAACAGCCGGAGATTAAAGGGACAGTTCACCAAAAATTAAATTCTGTCGTTATATCCTCTGCTTGATCCAAACCCGTTTGAGTTTTGCTTTCTCCTGAAGAATGCTGGAAGAGCAGCCACTGACTTCCATAGAATTCAGTTTTGTTCCTACTATTGATTTTAATGGCTGCTTTTCCTCCACAACATCATGCTTCATGTTCCACAGAAGGAAGAAATTCAATAAAAGTTTAAGGAAATTGTGAGGAAATGTTCAGTTTTGGATAATAGTTCAGCCAATGATGAAAAATCGGTCATAATTTATAGCTTGTTACTGGTTTCAAACGTTTATGAGTCTTGTGTTGAACATTAAAGAAGATATTTAGAAACATGCTGGAAATCTGGATGGGTGTATGTGCTTGTTACAAATATAAACAGATCTCTCTTTCACAATATAAGACTTTACAGTGATCGAGTCACAGAAGTGGAAAAAAGAAATTTCACAAAACATTTTCACAGAAATTTCCAAAATAAAGGCAGAAATTTGCATCTATTAACTATTTATTGATTATTACTGTTTCCCCCTTTTTTAATTTTACCATTTAGAGGTCAGTATATTACTTATATATAACATTTTACATTATTATATGCACTAATAAAGTGTGTGTATACTAGTATGTCTGTAATATTTTGTTTATCTCCAACACTTCACTGTGTATGTCTTATTTTGTTATTCTCCTTCTGTCTATCAGCATTGTTTATTTTAAAATATATTTTAAAAAGAAAAGTAATACTGGAAACCCTCGACTTCCACTGAATTAGTTTTCCCTACTATGGAAGTCAATGGTTACATGCTTCTACCTTCCTCCAGAATATCTTCTTTAGTGTTCAGCAGAAGACAGAAAGGTCTGCATCCACATGAGTAATCGGTGAGTATGTTGTAATGTTTGGGTGAACTGTCCCTTTAAGCATCTTCAAGCACATTTAATCACATTCAGCGTACTCCAGCATCAGCGCTGTTATTAGTCTGCTAATGTGTTCTCATCTGAAATCATAAGAATCTGGACGCATTAAGATGCAAGACTGGAATATGAAGCAGTCAAACCCAAACGCTGGTCCACTATAAACCCAGCAGAGCTTTGGCCTCTTGACTCTGTGCCATCAGACTCTCGCTGGCGTATTTCTGCAGCAGCTCCATCTTCTTCCTCCTCACCAGCGCTTCCTCAATCTGCCAGACAACAACACTGCGTTGTAACTCATGCTACTGACGCTCATGGTTCAGTATTAAAGAGGATATACAGCTGAAGTCAGAAGTATTAGCCTTTACATGTCACTTTAAGCTGTATAGAAGTGTCTTGAAGAATATCTAGTCTAATATTATTGACCGTCATCATGACAAAGAGTAAATAAATCAGTTATAAGAGATGAGTTATTAACACTGTTATGATTAGAAATGAGTTGGAGAAATCTGCTCTCCTTTACACAGAAATTGGGGAAAAATTAAAAGTTGGTTTAATAATTCTGACTTCAACTGTACATCACCGGAGCCGAAATGAAAGTGTTTGTGTTTTCTCCGTGTCTGGAAGTGAAACAAACCTCCTTCTGCGAGGGCACAGGAACATGAGAGATGAAGGACTGCGCTCCATCCTCTCCCTCCATCTGATCTCCCGTTTCATCATCAGACCGCTGGTTTACATGTCAAGCAATCAGAGAAGTGATCAGAGATATGCCATTACAGAGATCAGACATTGCTGGCTTCGAGAGACGCTCACCTCCTCGTCTCTGACAGCGTAAATATATTCCTCCTCCTCTTCAGTGTCTTTCACGGCTCCACCGACGGCTAATCGAGCCTCTTTATCTGCTTTCCACTTCTCCACGGCCTCTGCCATCACTGCAGGATTCAGACATACACAGAGAACTCATACGTGATGCATCACACGTTTATAGCTGCACAGAAAATACGGCATGAACACCACCTGGTAAAAATAAACACCAGACACTTTCCTAATACCACTGAGGGCTGGGCGATGTAGCAAAAATACAATCTCGATGACTAATTTCCATATTGAACGATATCGGTATATATTTTGATAGAAGTTGTTAAAGCTTCCAGATTTTAAAGAGCACCCCAACAATGACTGAAGCCACATATAGAGGGTCCATAAATGGCATGACATTTCAGCCGATCAAGTTTAGGTAGATCTCTAATATCAACACGCTTTTAGATTGCATATATAAAATGTATGTATTTCTGAATTGTCAGCCTCATTACTGGAGTCTTTAGTGTCCTCTGATGATCAAGCAGCAGATCTGATCTTATCATTGCTGAAAGTAGTGTTGTAGGAAGCATGACAGAGACATTATCATTCAACAGTTTAAGGTAAGGGTGAGGCAGTGGCGCAGTAGGTAGAGCTATCGCCTCACAGCAAGAAGGTCGCTGGGTCACTGATTCGAACCTCGGTTCAGTTGGCGTTTCTGTGTGGAGTTTGCATGTTCTCCCTGCCTTCGTGTGGGTTTCCCCCACAGTCCAAAGACATGCGGTACAGGTGAATTGGGTAGGCTAAATTGTCTGTGGTGTATGAGTGTGTGTGTGAATGTGTGTGTGGATGTTTCCCAGAGATGGGTTGCAGCTGGAAGGGCATCCGCTGCGTAAAAACTTGCTGGATAAGTTGGCGGTTCATTCTGCTGTGGCGACCCCGGATTAATAAAGGGACAAGAAAATGAATGAATGAGTTTAAGGTAAGATTTAAGACTTTTACTCCTCACACACATTCACCTGATCAATGGCGACAGTAAAGCATTTAGAACTTTACAAAAGATCTCCACTTCAAACTGATGCTTTTCTATTCCGCTCACTATTCATCAATGCATCCTGAATTACAGCACACTTCCACACACAGCAATGATTTCACAGACAGCTTCTGTCAAATTATAATAATGCTTTCAAACAAATTCCCAGAGATGGGTTGCAGCTGGAAGGGCATCCGCTGCATAAAAACATGCTGGATAAGTTGGCGGTTCATAGCACTGTGGCAAACCCAGATTAATAAAGGGACTAAGCTGAAAAGAAAATGAATGTATGAATGATTCAAACAAATAAGAGTGATCTAAAACATGATTTTTTTTAAAGATTTGTCTAAGACAGAAAGATGATATTAAGCATCAAAATAACAGTGACTGAATAAAATAATAACTTATTTGTGTTAACTTGTTGAGTTTGAAATCTTTGTCTGAGAAAAAAATAAACTCTATCTTGCATTTTTTGCAAAGATTTACAAAAGGGAACCACTGAAATGCCATTGAGTGTATCTAGCAGTCCAAATATCTTAACAGGCGTATTTTTAAATCAGAAATAATTTAATTAAATACTAAGCACATAATCACAAGTTAATTACAATATTAAGTTTTTGTCCCTAAAATACCCATCAATTGTCATCTGAAATCTTTATACTATGACTCTATTCTTAAAACAGAATAAGCTGTAGTATAATGACCTATCCTGTGATATATTTTAATAAGCAGCTTAGAATAAACATGTTTCTTTTTTACATAATTCATATGCATGCAAAGTGTTGGCTAAATTACAATTTGTAAACGGTTTCAATTACTGTCTGAAAAGTAACTCAATTACTCTAAATAATTTAATTAGTTGATGTTATTTAAAATCCCTATAAACCTATATGCATGGATGACAGAAATTAAACTCTTGATTCTTTAAAGCAGCGCCTCTTAGCTTCATTAAAAATGCATAACTTAAAGAATAACAACTATAACATGCATGTCAAAACAAAAACATTTAAAAATAATGACAGCATATTTCATACATTTCTGACTTAATTTGTTTTTTAAAGCATGCTCATTTGTCTAAAAATCCAGCTAAAATGTAATTATTAATGCAAATTATATTTGTATTTTATTACTCTACTTCTCTGAATTAATCGAGAAGTGTTGAATAACCCACCAACTTATCCAGTTTTACGCAGCGGATGCCCTTCCAGCTGCAACCCATCTCTGGGAAACTTCCATACACACTCATTCACTACGGACAATTTAGCCAACCCAATTCACCTGTACTGAATGTCTTTAGCATGCACACTCTACACAGAAGCACCAACTGACCCAGCCGAGGCTCGAACCAGAGACCTTCTTGCTGTGAGGCGACAGCACTACCTACTGCGCCACTGCGTCGCCACTGTTCATAATGTTAGAAGGAAAATAAATATAAGTATGCTTTTGTGGAGTCAAACACTTTGGACAATGCCTAAACAAAATTTAAGACCTTGTAAAAACGCAAATAAAACTTTCTAAGGGTATTAATTTTCTCATACATCAACTTTTAATAGTTTTAAAGACCTCACAAACACCCTGACAAGCAAATGTTGGGGAAAAATATTAAATAAAAATGTAATAAATATGAAAAATCAAGAGAAACATAAAATAAATGACTTAAAATAGTGTAGTTTAAATATATATATTCCTGCAATCACTCATTTGAATTGAAATGTAAAATATTCCTCATCCTAAAGATGTTCAACTCTTATTTTAATGAATTTATCTGTTTAATAAAACTGATTTTCCCAGTGATGGGTTGCAGCTGGAAGGGCATCCGCTGCGTATAACACTGGAATTTTTGGCGGTTCATTCCGCTGTGGCGACCCCTGATTAATAAAGGGACTAAGCCGAAAAGAAAATGAATAAAACTGTTCGTTTAAATGCAGCAAAACATATCAGCTGTCATCACTTTATATTCATACTCATTTATGCAGAGCGCTGTACATGCACTGTAAAGCAGACATGTCTGGCGTGTGGAACAGAGGATCAGTGTGTGTTTTAAGGAGATAATGAGCAGTGTGTGTAGATGAATTATCAGGAATACGCGTGCAGCGTTACGCTTCATATGATCCAGCATTCAGATAAATGGAAACGCATGTCGGGAAATCAGCAGCACACAATGGCACAACTGTACCGAGCCCACATTCACTTAATGCAGAGCTGCGTGTGTCTGCAGGAATAAACCAATCAGCTTCCTCGTGGATGATCGGCTCTTCTGAAGACACGACAGGACGCATTTCTCATGCTCTACTGCAGACACACTAATTCTGTTTTCTAACACTATATAGAACAGACAGTATGCAGATTAGGATGCGCTGATCTGGATTAAGATTCAGCTTCTACAGCATCTCTCTATCATGGTTATGAGTTGTATTATTGTGTTTTAGTTTGTTATTGTATGGATTTGTGAAGTCTTCTCATATATTAGTTATACTATGGGTGAAGTAAACCTCTCATGCTTCAGCATCAGCCCTACAGCATAGGTGCATCTCACAATTAAAAATAACCATGATGTCAATAAACATGATCAAACTGTGATTTAAGAGTGTTGAATCAGACGCTTGCTCACCTTGTTTCTCATATTCCTGTTCCAGTGGGAGTAAAACCCCGTCATCTTCATCTCTGTAACCGTAATAATCCGCATCGATGTCCTTCATCAGCTCGGCTCGTGTCTTTCTGGGTGGCGGTACAGCTGCGGTCCACAAATCCAACAAGAACACATCAGAAAATAACTCTGTTATTTGTAGTTCATTGTGGAAGCTAAATCAGATGGTATCGATATTCTTAGCCAGCGATACGATATTTCATGATACTTTAAAAAAAACTGCATTTAAATTTGATTCAGTGGAACATATTTCAATATATCAATATTAAGATAAATGTGCCTCCTTTACAGAACCAGTCATTTTAAGCAGTCTAAGTGATTCAATCATTCATTCAAGCTGTTCACTCCAAAAGCTGATTCGTTTAGAAATATTCTGGATTAAGTCTTTATTTTCTGATGCATAGTTCAGAAAATCTCAGTGCACAGATCTTTGCAGAAGAGACATAAACATTTACTTTTATATATTAGCAGAAAGTTTTAACTGGGGCGGCACAATAAATCGAAAAATTATCGTTATCGCGATTATAACATTATATGCAATATAGATATTGCAGACATGTGTGATAATCTAACGTTATTTACTTCTTTTATGTTGGTTGTTTATCTAAATTTCCCTTACTATCTTTAGCCCTGCCTCGCCAGTAGTGCTGTTCTGCTATTGGCTGAAGCAGCCTAAAGCTGAAAATAAACACCAATGGGCGGAGTCAAGACGATGGGAAAACAGCCAATCAGAGTTAGAATATTTGCTGGGGTTTTTACTTGGTGTTTTAAACACTAAATGTTTGCAGTTCGACAGTTTTTAAAGTCTAAATTAAAATGAATTAGATCTGAAAAATATCTGTTTATTTTAATATTTTTAAATAAATGTTTTCAAAAACATATATACAGAAAAATTTGCAGTCATTTCCCTAAACACTTTCTATTTGTATGAGCTGTGTTTTAAAGTCATTTATTTAATCATGTTCATTCATTTTCCTTCAGCTTAGGACCTGATTTATCTGGGTTAACCACAGCGGAATGAACCGCCAGCTTTTCCAGCATATGTTTTACACAGCGGATTACCTTCCAGCTGCAACCCAATACTGGAAAACACCTATACACACACTCATACACTAGTCAATTTAGTTAATCAATTCCCCTATAGCGTATGTGTTTGGACTGTGGGGGAAACCAGAGCACCTGGAGGAAACCCACACCAACACGGGGTTCAAACCAGTGACCTTCTTGCTGTGAATCCACAGTGCTAACCACTGAGCCACCGTGCCGCCTATTCAATCATATTAATCACATTTTTAGGGAAATGATTGCACATTTCCCCAGTATGGTTCAGCGCTAGCATCAACTCACGCTCAGATTCGAACAGCTCTCGAACTCCAGGTAAATCTTTGGCAGCGCCGAAATACTTGTATCCTCTGTTTCCAGGAACCTCTTTACCCTCATGGTCCAACATCTTCGGCCCAAATCTCTATTACAAACACAAAAACACATACCGTCAAGTATGAAACTCTGCCATTACCTTAAGACATAAACTAAATATTAATAATGCTTCAAAGATTTTCATTTATATAATAATAAACGGATAAACAATGTAAGTTTGCGATTACTAGAATTCTGATTAGTAGAAGTGCACCAGTTTACTATCAGCTTTCAGTGCAGGGCTTTTGGTTCAGCATGCATTAGTCTACACATGCATGCATTAGTATTTTGTGTTTGTATGTGGAGCCAATTCTCTTCACTATTTCTACAGGTATGCCTATAATGCAGCATTTGTGTTCTTACCCTATAGTCGGGTCCTCCGAGCTCCTTGATGCGCACTTCCCAGTGCCCTTTCTCCCGGAGCAGTTTGTTGATCTCATCGTTCAGATCACGAATCTTAAACTCACCCAAACCAGCTGAGCAAAACAAAGCAAGAGTTTAAATAGGAAATAGCACTTGTTCTGCACATTTATGCTTGTATTTTGATTGTAAATCAGCGTTTCTTTCTGCAGATTCTCACCGTTTTGAATCTGGGCAACCTTCTTTGAAATCTCACTGATGATCTAGAATGAAAAATAGTGGAAAACATAAATATCTAAGTCAGATTGAGCTTCATTTGCCAAGTGTGCTCAAAAAACACAAGGTTTACAGGAGCTCAGGGTACATCATGCATATCAACACAACAGAAATTGGGGTATGAATAATTTTGGGCTTGACTGTGTATACACATCATGTATGCGTGTAACCCCTGCCGGTCCTACGTCACCGAACCTGCTCCGAGCTGGGATAGAACCTGTGACCTTCCGCATGGGAGTCGGTTGCTCTAACAAGGAGGCTAAAGACCATTGCCTCTGTTGTCTGTCACTAGAGCATCTTCAGAGGTCAGAGGAGTGAGGTTTACCTGCACAGCACTTACTAGGTGGCTTCCGTTACACTCACCCCCCTAGGCCTCACTACCATCCAGGTCATGGCACCAATGTAACCCCGCCGGTCCTACGCCACCCAGCCCGCTCCGAGCTGGGATCGAACCGACGACCTTCCGCATGGCAGTCAGTTGCTCTAACAAGGAGGCTAAAGACCATGGCCTCTAGCGATTGTCGCTAAAGCAGCTTTAGAGGTCAGAGGAGTGAGGTTTACCTGCACAGCACACGCTAGCTGGCCTTCGTTACATGTGCGATATGTGCATTGTTGTCAGTTTTAACTACAAATAAGAAATAAAAATATCTATATAAAAAGTATTTAGAAATAAGTTGCTTTATTGGTTAAAAAAGCACAAACATTAAGGTTCCTATATAGTGTATGACCAAGAATACAGATAGCAACTGATTTAAAGTGATAGTTGACCAAAATAGTATATAGTAAATAGATAGTTCCAAACCTTTAGGAGTTTCCATCTCCAGCTGAACACTAAAGAAGACATTTTAAAGAAAGCAGAAAACTTATAACCTCCACAATAGAAAAAATAAATACTATAGAAGTTACGGGTTTCAGCTTTGTTCAAAATATCTTCAAAATATGTTTAATAGAAAAAAAAGAAAGTCAAAAAGGTTTCAAACAGCTCAAGGGTGAGAACAGAATGTTCATTTGTGGGTGAACTGCCCCTTTAGGTTGAAATGCATGTAAATGTTTGAGGTATTATTGAGTCATTTATTTATTCTCTACTTTACTGGCGTGAGGGCAGGACCAACCTGTCATTCATAAGAGATCCACCAATAGCAAAGCACAAAACGCTACAATTCCCCAAAACACAATGAAGCCCCGCCCACATTTATTTTTGATCCAGAAGCTGAGATGAAGCAGGAGGAAAATACAGCAAACTTTCACAACCTCCATGCCATGCAGACTTGATTATTTGTCAGAAAAGCATCCTGCAGAGACTGACCTGTCTTCTCCACTTCTCTGCTTTGGGCAGCTCATTACACTCTGAGGCAAGGTAAGGTCGTCTCTCCTGTGGATGTACGACATTAGATCAGGTAAATGCATGATATCAGCATGGATATCGCAATGTGTGCACCCGCAATACTGACATCACAGCATCTGCAATGTCGAGTCAGGATTATATTGATATAATCATAATATAAATTTAAAAATATTAATATACAGCTGAAGTGTGAATTAATAGCCACATCAATATTTTTTCCCAATTTCTGTTTAATGGAGAGCAGATTTCTTCAGCACATTTCTGCACATAATAGTGTTAATAACTCATCTCTAATAGTTGATTTATTTTCTCTTTGCCAGGATGACAGCACATAATATTAGACTAGATATTCTTCAAGACACTTGAAGTGAAAGGCTTCACTAGGGTAATTACGGTAAAGTTAGGGTAATTAGGCAAGTCATTGTATAACAGTGGTTTGTTCTGGAGACAATCCAACACTAATATTGCTGAAGGGGTGAATAATATTGACCTTAACATGGGTTTAAAATTATTAAAAACTGCCTTTATTCTAGCTGAAATAAAACAAATAAGACTTTCTCCAGAAGAACAAATATTAAAGGAAATACTCCTGATTCTGTTCAACATCATCAATATTTAAAAATAAATAAATAAAATTCACAGGAGGGCGAATAATTTTGACTTCAACTGTATATAAGATATAAATATACTCGAGCTATATTTCATCACATCCGTGTTACTGCAGTTCACTGTCCAGACTAACCTTCACTTTTCCCTCCTCCAGCTGAGCTTGACGAAACCTGGCCAAGGCCGTCCTGCAGTACGAAGAGAAGAGCGTTAATGAAAGATTTTACAGATCACACAGCCTGAATATGACAGAAATAGGATTAAAGACACTTACATGGCCTTTTCTGCATTTCGAGCCTGAAAATAAAACAAGAGTGTGTTCAGTATGACTAGACGCATGCTGATATTCAATAATTCAATATATCAGGATGATAAACTAGCACAACATTGACATCATGAGCTCTGTTTATAATCTAAACCTTCAGACTGCTTTTTAAAACCATTCAGATTTTATTTGCAGTGTTCACACAATTAATGAACCCAATTAATGAACTTAATATAGTTCAAACATTTACACGTAATGAAAAACGTATAGATATTTTAGGACTATTATCCATTACCACTCCAATAGATAACGTGTTAATTTAATTAAACACCATGAAAACTACAAAAGCGTTGATTAACCTTAGCTGAAAGTTTCTTAATTAATGCCTAATGACATGTTTAAATAAAATTAAAAAATGATAATTATTTCATTAAGTGTGTTTTTTTAAACTAATAATAACACTCACATTCATTAAATTTATTAACATTTACTCATGTGATTGTATTGTAGCTGACGGTGTTGTCAATTGTACTTTATAATTCTTTTGCAATATAATTTCTATAAATCGTTTCTTTAGACCAGTGGTGTCAAACTTAATTCCAGGAGGGCCGCAGCTCTGCATAGGTTAACTCCAGCTCACAGCTGTTTACTAGTCTCTAGCAGTCTTGACTAGTTGATCAGCTGTGTTTGATTAGGGTTGGAGCAAAACTGTGCAGAGCTGCGGCCCTCCAGGAATCCAGTTTGAGACATACGCTCTGGACTGAACATGGATATACAGCAAAGCAATACACCAAGTGTGTGTTGTTGTTTTTAACACATTTGTATTGTGTATCAGTCCATCTCCGAACATCTCAAACACATTTGGGATTGAATTATGTTAATAAATATGCAATTACTAAATTTAAAAATCTAAATAATTTAGTTTAAATTTTATTAATTTCTTTAATACAGGTCATTCTCAGGTTATGCGTGTATATTATATACGACTTTCTAAAATTCTATAATATAATACGACTTTTCTGTCATTATTGTTTTGCTTTTGTTGTGTTTCAAGCCTAATTTCACATTTTAAAGTCATTCTTAACTTTATAAACGTGATTTAAGGCGTTATAAATGCAGTAATAACATGTTAAACACGTTTTTAACGTCTGGTGTACAATTTCCATATTCACTCGATCATGATCAAACACAACATTCAACAAAATAAAAGTTTAATGACTGTTTTACACAAGAATAACGCTTCAGCTGCAAATAAACCTGTAATCCTAACATAATAAATGGATCTGTACACATCATGAGGGCTCAATCTGGTTGTTTGACCAAGTTCTGTGTAAGCGTTGGACGTTAGCGTTACTGTTCTCTCAAGCTGTGCCTCTCATTATAGCAGATACATTCGTGTTTGGCTTTATCTATAATCTAGTATGATATTAAATTAATAATAAGCCAGGAAAATGTTTCTTTACCATGTTTGAAGTTCAGATCTTCAATCCTGCGTGAACTCAACGCTGAGCGCGCACGACGCACGAGTATGACGCAGTGATCCGTTGTACAACTTCCGGCGCGGCAAGTCGTGACAGAAATAAACAACTATCGAGGATTTGAGGAATATACCGCAGGTAGGTCGGTTTTTTGATTAGACTCATAACATGTAAACAGCACTGCTTTGAAAGACATGCTGGCATGACCGCGAGATCATAACTGACGGTAAAAGTGCTTTTCACGAGGTGAAATGTACCGTCTAGCGGAGAGAGACGCAACTGCACCTCCACATTCAGCCGTCAATCACTAATGATCGTTAATGTCATCAATTCTTATACAAGATGAGTTATTTTATCTGTGTCTGATCTTTTTAATTTTATACTTATAAAAATATATTACAATAATTCTAATTATCATTTAAACTCATTAAATCACTATCAATATTCAATAATTAAGTATATCATGACCATAAACAAGCACAATATTGACATCATGAGCTCAGTTTATAATCTAAACCTTCAGACTGCTTTAAAAATATTCAGATTATTTTTGCAGTGTTCACACAACAGCACAAATGATTGAAGACCTAATTAATTACCTTAATATAGTTCAAACAGTTTCAAGTAAATGAAAACTTCCGAGCATTTATAGGACTATGGTATATTAACACTACTATAGCTAATGTGTTCATTTAACTAAACTAGGCATGGACCGGTATAAGATTCTGACTGTATGATAATCTTGGATAAATATATCACAGTATTGTGATTACTGCTCTAAATTATGCTCTTTTTTAATATCTGGGTAGAAAACAGCTACTTTTCCCCCTTTGAACACAAAATATATTTTTGTAAAAAAAGCATTTAGAATATTTTGTCAGATTTCTTTTAAGAACAGGAGTAAAAATATATATTACAATAATCCTAATTATCATTTAAGCTCATTAAATCATTCTGAACAGTAAAAATGAATGTCTTATTTCTTTCTTTCTTTTAACTAAAGGCGATGGTGTGAAAGTGTGGTGTGAGTTTTGTAGCCTTTTAAGAACAAAATATTTCCGACAAGCTTGGAAAATATAGGGTAAGTTGTTGGTTTTGGATTAGCGGTGTTGTTTGATAACTAATATGCATTTTCACATATTTTTAAAGATTTCTCAGATTTCTAACAGATGATCTGCACATATTTTGCTCTTTCTGCAAACTTTTGTCAGGATAAAATACAGCTTAAAGGGGCTAATAATATTGACCTTAAAATGGTGTTTAAAAAATTAAGAACTGCTTTTATTCTAGCCAAAATAAAACAAAAAAGACTTTCTCCAGAAGAACAAACATTATCAGACACACTGTGAACATTTCCTGAATCTGCTCAACATCATTTGGGAAATATTTAAATCAACAAAAATTTAAAGGGGCGATTAATTCTGACTTTTGACCAAAATAAGGTTTTAATTCCCTTTTATTATTGAATTGCATTATGGGATGTAGAAAATTCAACTCTACAATTTAACAAAGTGACTTTTATTGACATTTTAGTAGTTTAAAATAATATAAGAATTAATAATATGTAGAGAAATAAGTATGTAAAATAGCAGTAAACGTGCTGCAGTTTATTACAAGGTTTCTGTAGCGTAATATACAACACCAACACACACAATAGCACTGCACACTAATGTGCAGAACACACACTTTTATAGGTTAAAAGTTGTTGGAGAAAAGATCAAGATCCCATAATGCAACTCGGAAGCAGAAATAATATATGGGGAAATATAAAAACATGAAGCACAAAATACAGAAAACCGCTAATCTCCAGATATTGTTATGGTGTTTATAGCTGTGAGGAGCTGAAGCATTATACGACACCCCGCTGAATAAGCATTTAACTCTCTAAAGCTAAAAACACACAATCTAGTGGTGTCCGCTTACACTGGAGCTCTGCATATTGATCTGCTGTAATCTGAGAAACCCTCTGCCTTTACTCTCATCTGGCCTCAACACACCAAACATAAAGTTTCAGTGTATATAATCTAAATCAACACGTCCGATCTCAGCTCTCATACTTCTGCATTTGAGTAATGCCTCATCAAATGTGCAGCTTATAGTTTGAATAATTTACAGCTGAAATGACTTGCTGGAGTTAGGGTTCATCAGTCGGCCTGCAGACCAGCTGTTGCGCAGAGCTATAAACTTACGCTCTTCTCTGAATAGATAGCAGTGAACTAAATGGGGAATTCAGTTGGCATCGGCTCTCGGCTTTCAATGGGCTCTTTGGCCTGTTTAATGCAGCTTTATGTGCAAATACAAAAGCAGGTACATTTGCACTGATCTTATGCCGGAATATGCTCATTATTGCCTCCATAACACAAGAACAGAATGAAGACCCTTTTAGCAAAAGAATAACAAAAAAAGTACCTGCTGTTTTTATTATTATTTAAAAAGTTAATGTTATTTTATATATATATTACTATTTGTAAATAATTTTACATTCAATAGTTTCAGTTCAAATTTCTTTTACCTTTGCCATGATGACAGCACATAACATTTTACTAGCTATTTTAAAAATGTAAGAGGTATACAGTATATTACTGTTCAGCTTGAAGTGATATTTAAAGGTTTAACAATTAGGCAATTCAATAAAGAACAGTGATTTGTTCTGTAGCCAGTCAAAAGAATCGCTTTTAAGGGGGCTAATAATATTGAACAGAGATTTTTTTTCAGCCAAACACTTTCTCCAGAATAAAAGTATAATAGGAACAATTTCCTTGCTTGGTTAAAAAAGCACTTCTGAAATAAAAAACATGAATTAAAATTTCACAGAATTTTATCATCAACTATATATATATATACACATAAATAAAAAAATATATAAATAAACACATATATATATATATATATATATATATATATATATATATATATATATATATATATATATATATATATATATACATTTTATATGTACAAAAACAAGAGACATGCACCTTTATAACTCCAACTTTTTTTGTTTGTTATTAACCTAATGTAATGTTTTTTTTTATCAAAATATTTATCCCCCAAATGTAAGCTTTTCAAATGTATATCAGTAATTCTATAGTTAAGAAAACCCTTCATGTGTATTTTTTTTAAAACAGCCTTGTTAGATTTGTTAATAATTGTTTTAAAAGAATTTTTAACCTTTACATTGGACAGGATAGAGGAGAGCTGAGACAGAAATGTGCGAGGAGCAGAAAAAGAGGATGCATTGGAAAAAGCCCTTGAGCCGGGATTCAAACTCAGGTCACAGTAAGCACCTCAGAGCACTTAACCACTAAGCTATTAAGTGCTCCCAGGGTTGCATCGAAAAAAAATATATTTTTTTGTGATTAAAATTATTATGTGGTGAGTTTTGCCATAACTGACAGCAAATTTCACAGCATTTCTTCTACATGCATGACAACAGAATGCATATATACAGCCAGGGATGGGCAAAAATACATTGAAATGTGCTTTTAAATAAAATATTAAATACATAAATTTGACATGTATCAAAATAAACAAAATACAGCAGCCAGAAATGCCTCAAAATAAAATATTGTATTTTAAAAATACTACAAAATACTTTTAAAGGGAGCATGACATTTCTTTTGCAAACCTTCCATCAATTGGCCTATTAGATCAATCCCTTCACTATTAAACTTGGCTTGGTAAACAATGTTTGATAACCACCACTAATTTTCCTTCAGCTATAGTGGAAGTTGTGGCCTAATGCTTAGTGAGTTGAACTTGTAACCGAAAGGTAACTTGTGTTTCTCTTTGAGTTTGCACAAATGTCATACAGAAGGTCCTGTCTTGAAGATGATATGGTTTAAATCATTTAATGCAGATAATGAGCCAGTACTATATGCTGATTGGGTTTTTTACGCATTGCGTGCCCAGTATAACTCCCATCATCCCTATTCCATCTCATTACTTAAGCAAAGATGCTGAATTGTACACTGTAGCCATTATATATTCCTGATCTCAGCAGTAGCTATTTTTGGTTGTGCTCCTGAATATACCATCACCCTTTGTCTGTTACTTTCTTTAAGCATAATTTCCATCCATCCAATCCTTCATCACCCTCTTAAAAACACATGGTGTTCTGATCCCAAGCAAATCATGAGAAAGCACCAATCAGAGGCGTTATTTTAACCTCTTAAGGCTCAAGCTGTTTACTTGTATTTTAATTTCTCTTTGCTATTTGGGCTTATTGGAACCTAATTAGAATAAAAATCTGAGTATCATCTTTTGATTTGATGTACTTTTAGAAAAAAATTATGTCCATATATGTAGACTCGTAGTCCGAATTTCCATAAAACACTTTTTCCTGATTGTTTTTAATGCATATATAACAATATATGCATATATGCAATTTAAATACTTGTTTTGACTATCAGAGAGTAAAAACATTTTTTTTCCCCATTTTGGACTGTTAAAAATAGCGTTTGGGACATTTCATATGCTGCAAAACAGTTGCAGGATGACTCTGTATGTCTGTAACAAAATATAAAACATTTAAAGTATTTTAAACAGACACTTAAGAGCTATTTAAATGTACGTAGACACTCAAGAGGTTAAGATGTCTTCATGTACTGTACACTTCTTGCAAAGCATTTTAGAGAATTTTGAAACTTCAAATACACAAGAAGCTTAAGTATTATGATACACAATATTAAGTCATTTTCTTCAACTCTATCAAATACAAATCGCAAAATACCATTTATTGTTTGAAATACTTCTCATAAACACTGCCCATCCCGGTATACAACATGTAGAATATGAGATTGTGATAAATTCATGTGCTCTAGTTAAAACAGGCTTTGAATGTGCATTGCGAATGTTACATGACGCAGGTCATACACCAGATGAGAAGAGTAATAACAACTTGAGGCTTTGCACACCAGGCGAGCACATTCTGTTCATTAATACTGTGTTTTTGAAAGTAAAACTAAGCAGATGGTGCTTTGTGGTGCGGCAGGAGCTTGATCAGTGTCCCAACTGCTAAAAATATGCAGGAAATTTGTGGCATTTGCATGATTTTGCGTTAAACCATCATGGAATTGTGAAATCCCGGAGGGTCCGGCTATTGGCACAGACTGCTCACATTTTTAAAAATATGTATTATATATCATGAGAGAACATCCACTTCCCACCCCCCAAATTAAAACATGCTCATTTATCTTAAAGCATCCAGCACTGCAAATCCAAGCCCAAAACAATACACGTCTATTGACTGATGAACAGAATAAAAGGAGACCACTCAGAAAAGAAGCTTCAGTCTTGACACCCCTTCCTCCTCCAGATTTATTGAGTTTAAAATTACATTTCTATGTCCTAGAACTTTAGTTGCATTTACCTTCCGACTTAAAAACTGAGTACAAGCAAATGATAGTTTTTTTCTCCTTATTTTTAGAGTAGTCTACGTGATATTGTACAAAAATAACATTTTGATTTCTGTGAAAACATTCACCCTTTCTTCTAAACTCCAAATCTGTACTTTATTTTTTTTGTCTTCTTTTGTTTTTATTTTACTGAAGTTTTCACCGTGGGTAGAACGACCTCCATCCGCATCGCTTGGGATCATGAACTAGTTTTTTTTTTCTTTTTCTTTATTTATTTATTTTTCTTTCGCCGTCACAGCCGAGCGATCCTGAATGATCAAACAGCTCGTGATTTACAAAGGAACTCGTTTCCTGAAACTGTTTTACACAAGGTTTCCAGAATATGCTATAAAGTTGTCTGCTTTATATTACACGTTACGGTTTTCACTCCACATAGCTGCGTACTGCTGGTTTGGCCTGGACAGACCCGACCGTTTGTGTCCTGTGCTGCTCTTCCAGGTCAATCACTCATAGGCTACCTCAGTCTCATTGAGAAAACAACAACAAAAAAAAAAAAACGCAAATCATCGAGGAAGCCGGCGCTTCCCTGATCTGTATGGTTATTTTTGACCATGTTATTATATATTTTTTTCCCGATCTCTCCGAGGCCGCGATCCGCGAGCCAACAAACGTTCTTCCACTCAACACAATCTCACACATCCCTGTTCACCAGTGGCATGGAAAGGGGGTTCTTTAACAAAGCATTATACATAACACCTCTACCAAACTAAACATAAACATTTTTTTGTATTAAATGCAGAAAGTGGAAAGTTTTTTTTCCACCCCTTTCCTCCTTTTACATGTCAAGAGCTCACTGGCCTGGGAATAGCCTCTATCTGCCAACCGATGGCCAGTGAAGAGGATTCAGAGAAAATAATACAACCATCAATCAGAAAAAGGAGGGGCGAAGGAGGCGGCGGGATTAAGCGGTGGCCTCGATGGTGCACTCCTTCGCCACGTGGCCCGATTTGCCGCAGTTGTAGCAGTTGACTTCGCTGGCCTTGCTGCACTGAACAGCCACGTGACCGATCTCTCCACACCTGAGGGGGAAACACACACATTATTCAGCAACTATGACAGGATGGGGAGCCAGCAATGCAATCTCATAATCTATACTCCTGGATTACATTGAGGGTGTACTCACACCAAGCAGGGTTATCCTTAACCATGTCCGGGTGCGATTATCCCCCTCCCCTGCACTCACACTGCATTTTTATCTGCCGAGCCAGAGCACGCATGCATCACCAATGATGCGACTGTTCAGTTTAACAGGAGACAGCACAGTGGAGATTGCTTTAGTTGTATTATTTTAAGTCGTTTGGGATGCAGTGAGATGGAGTTAAATATTTAGCTGAACAGATCCAGCACTTTTGACACTCAAAGTTTCATAAAATCGTGGTGCTGCAGGTATTAGGAGGTTTGCTGAAGGTGCAGCTGTCATACAGCCCTCATTGTTTGTGTCTTTAATAAACTATGACAGCTTGTGTTCATTAAACAGTAAGGATTATTAATAAATCCACATCAAACAGTCTCTTAAAAGTGTTGTCTCATCTTCAGTTTTAGGCTCAGGCACGCTTTGCACTCACACTACAAGTGTACTGTGCCAAAGCCCAACTGAACCAAGCTCTGGCACACCTGCCTACTGGGCCAGGGCTGGCCAACTATACAACGCCTGGGCCCGATTCAGAGCACTCACACTTGACAAACGAACTAGGAAACACGCCCGGGCATGGTTCAGAATGCCTAATGTGAGTGCACCCTTAGATTACTTTCGTAATCTGTGATTTCACACAGATACTGAACATAAAAAACATAAACAATGAACATATACAATGTTTATATAATAATAATAAAAAAAGAAAACACAAACATCAGCCTCATCCACAGATTTTTTATAAACTGTAATCAGTCACAGATTACGAAATGTGATGCCAGTATTACAATTGTTCGCATTTATTCTAACTTAATCTGAGTACTTCTGGATTACTTTTGTGTACCTTATTTGTTTGCACATATTTTCAGGTAGTATAGTCTAAAGGTTGATTTATACTTCTGCGTCAAGCGCATGCATATGCTACAGCGCAGCCTACGCATGGAAGCATAGCCCTCGTCGTGGCCGCCAGCATCGCGCACCTCACAAAAATATGTATCTACACGTAGCAACGACGCATAGCGCAAGCTCTATGATTGGTCGCCTTGGTAGCGCCGACGAGTGTGAGAAATCGCACAATTAAATCGCTAGTAGAAACTATAAAACGCACACAGACATACTGAATGTTTTAGTACCATAGATTGTTATCTAGAATGACGCTTCCACTCCACATGAATCTATACATCGTCAGTGGAAGAGAGTAATGTTTTATCCACCAGGGGGCATTCTCTTAATGGAGTGACGTCACTTGAAAGCCATCAATTCATAAAAGTGGTTTTGGAATCAGATTATGTAATCTAGATTATATATTAACCACTACTCCCCAGATCTGTCAAGAATAGTATAAACGGGGTCGGAGCTAGCTCCAACCTATTGTGTTTCATTAATGTCTAGACCAACCCTAAACCCCGCCTATGCATGCTGTAATCCCTCCCACTTGGACTTGGTCTCCGAGCTACAGCGATGCCTGCTTGGTTCTGTCCCTCACCTGTAGCACTTGACTTTTTCGCAGCCCTTCTGGATGTGTCCGAATCCGCCGCAGGAGTAGCACTTTTGCTCATTGGCGTGGTCGCAGTCGCGCGCCATGTGTCCGGCTTTACCGCAGTTATAGCACACCTGCTCGCGCTCCTTCTTGGGCTCCTTGCAGTCCCTGGAGATGTGGCCGCCTCTGCCGCAGTTGTAGCACGCTGCAAACACAGTGCATCAACTCATTAACAACTCTTACAGCAGAAAAACTGCCAAAACATTATTTATATTTATATATATATATATATATATATATATATATATATGCAGTGACATACGCTGTATTGGTTCATTTCAAAAGTGCAATATAAAGACAAATATAAAATATCTGGTCCCTTTACAATAAGGTTTGATTAATGTGTGAACTAACATGACCTTATAACGAAGGACACTTGTACGGCATTCATCATTCAAATTTCAGCATTAACAAATGCATTATTAAAATTTAAAGCCATGTTTGTTAACATTAGTTATTGCACCAGGAGTTAACATGAGCTAACGATGACCAACTAGTTTTTTTGCTTCATTTGATATTCATATAACCCTAACATTCAATATAGGAAACAACGTCATTCAGAACAAAAAAAAAATATTTGCAAATCTCCTCACCATCTTCAGTCCTCTCACAATCTCTCGCAACATGACCTGGTTCTCCACAGCGATAGCAGAAAAGATCTGGGAAACGACAGCAGAAACATCACTCAGTAAAAGAGCTCAAAGCAGCAGGTTTCAGATCGATTCATTTAATCGCTCTCTCACCTTTTCCTCTGCCGCGGCCCTTCCCACGTCCACGTCCAGCATTGGGACAGTTCTTGATCCAATGACCCGTACGGCCACAACCAAAACACTCGTTGCTGCTCATATCCTCAGACTTCACCCTACAACTGAAGACAAAATGCAGAAAATTCAGCTTTACTGAACATTGATATCGCAACATGCACATCTGAAATAGTCACATCACAGGATCTGCAATGTTGAGGCAGGATTACAGCTGACCAGAGCTGGTTATGTTGGTGTTTTTAAGGCCTGTGATTGTGTAAGCATTTAAAGCATTCATGCACAAAAAAATATAATGTTTTTAACTTAAAGTTTGATTATGCTTAAGCATATAAACACATAATGAAAACAACACTGCTATTTTACATTTGATTACTCAGTCTGTGTACCTGAATACTGCTAGACTCCCAGAAAAAAACCTGTTGTTGTATCAGAAAAATACTGCAATGTCAGTTTTTTCCAATATCGTGCAGCTCTAAAATAGACTTATTAAGAGTTTTGGGATTCATATTTGACACACCATCCCATAAATACTTGATAAAAAATTATAGAACAAACACTATTTATACACACATTTACTTAACACCACGCATAGTTAACATTTCAATTTGCACATAATAATATAGCCATGCATGCAGTATTGTATATAGCAATATACTCTAATTGTACAGTAAATATATAAATTGTAAATATCGTCAAATTGTATATATTTTTATCACATTTTTTATTCCTTTATTATGTTTTTTTTCCCTGTCACTGTCATTCTGTTGCACTGTGAAAACCTCACAAAAAAAACAAACTCCTTGTATGTGTAAAGATGCCAATGAAGCTCTTTCTGATTCTGGACAACCTAGAAGATGGCAGCATTTAGAGACATAAAATAAATCTATTAATGATCTTGCTCAATGAGTTTTAGTATAATTTACATTTATCTTAAATTATTACATCATCTTATGATTAATTTATTGCCTTAATTTACAATATTATGGAGCCTGTATGTGTTACGGTGGTATAATTATATTGTTTATAAATTGAACAGTATTTTTTTTTATCTATTATGATATGCTGTCTATTATGTTTATTGTCTGTTTATCCAGAACATTATTGAAAAAAAAAGATTACAAATAAAAAGGAGGTGTTTCTGGTAAAAACAAACGTTTTTAATGAATAAATCGGCAGATTTTTACATAAAAATATATTATTAAAGTATTCATATTGCATTTTTAAAGGTTTTGCATGCCTAAGAAGCAATCTAAATATCATACCGGGGTACATATCAGGTTAAACCAAAATAATATAAATAATGCATAATACAGGCGAGTGTGATGGTTTCAGCTTTTACATGGACAACAACGAGATCTCTTTAAAAACAAATGCATTTTGAAACCTATTTTGATTTTTTAAATTATGATTGGGCCAAATGCACATTTTCATGTGTGTGTTATGTAAATATGCCCTCATTAAACAATACTGATTTGATGCATGATGTCATAGTGAACAGCTGTAAAAACATTCAGATAAAACTATTTGTGTTAGCTTTAAAATAAATTAATTATAAAAAATATATAAGAACAGATCTAATAGAGCACTCTGTTTGTGGTAGAACACCTATACTGTTAACAATACTGCGGTGTAAACACATTTTCTCTCATCACTCAGTGTATAAAATGCATCAGTAGAAGAGTCGGCTCGCGGTGATGACTCGAGAACCGCTCGAACTGATTCAGTCAGTTCACCAAACACATTCGACTCTAAAATAGAATCGGACTTTGCTCCTACTGTCAACTGTTTTAGCTCAGGCTGAACACGTGCTTCATTTATCAATAAAACATGAAATATCG